ATGTACGGATCAGGTCACACCCGTCGGCCGTGGCCATGACACGACGGGGACCACAGTTGCCAGGTCATCCTGTTCACACGGCATGTACGGATCAGGTCACACCCGTCGGCCGTGGCCATGACACGACGGGGACCACAGTTGCCAGGTCATCCTGTTCACACGGCATATACGGATCAGGTCACACCCGTCGGCCGTGGCCATGACACGACGGGGACCACAGTTGCCAGGTCCTCCTGTGCACACGGCATATACGGATCAGGTCACACCCGTCGGCCGTGGCCATGACACGACGGGGACCACAGTTACCAGGTCATCCTGTTCACACGGCATGTACGGATCAGGTCGCACCCGTCGGCCGTGGCCATGACACGACGGGGACCACAGTTGCCAGGTCATCCTGTTCACACGGCATGTACGGATCAGGTCACACCCGTCGGCCGTGGCCATGACACGACGGGGACCACAGTTGCCAAGTCATCCTGTTCACACGGCATGTACGGATCAGGTCACACCCGTCGGCCGTGGCCATGACACGACGGGGACCACAGTTACCAGGTCCTCCTGTGCACACGGCATATACGGATCAGGTCACACCCGTCGGCCGTGGCCATGACACGACGGGGACCACAGATGCTGGCCTCTCTAGGCGCACGGTGTCGTGGTCAGCTAGGTACCCGCCCCTCTCCGTCACGCCCACTTCTATAGCGCCCGTCGAACGGTCCCCCCCCCCCTATCCCGTCTCCTCGTGGCCGTTCTACCTAGATCCTTCCCCCCCCCCCCCCCGCAGCCTATCGCTGCGCCCACCTGCCATCATGCGTCCGTCTCCTGTCGCTCCGTTGATGTTGTCCTGTTATTCCGTACACCAAACCGAGCACTTATATCGCATTCGTCGCGCGCGCCGCGCGAGAAACACTCCGCGCACCCCTTGTACACCGCGGCTCGGCTCACACTGCGCGTGTTATCGGCCGACCACGGCGGGGCCGCCGCGGTTCTGTTTGTTCTTCTCCACCCTTCTCGTTATCGCCCCCCCCCCCCTCCCCCTCCCCCTTCCCTGGACCCCACTGGCTCGGTGTCGCGTCGTGTCACGTCGGCCCGCTAATCACGATTCAACGTCCCGTTAATGCTTGATTTGTGACGCTTTGGGCCGCTGTTTGTCGGCTGTTTACGAGTTGGCCTGTTGTGGAGAACTCTGGCAGTGCTGTGTGTGGCTTCAGAACGACTGCTGGAAGAGTACCGAGACAGTGGGACCGGTTGTTTATGAGCTTTTGATGAGGGATGGGATGTCTCCTTTGGTAATTCGTTGTCTGCGTGTTTGATGCCTGTTTGGACGGGCTGAGGTGCTCACTGCTCATGCTTGTCACAAGCTTAGGTGTTGTGGCAATTGTCACGTTGGCCACAGTAGAATCATGCCTTATTTTCCCGCACATTAGACGGCGATTTTACTGCCCAGTTTGTGGCTGCTGCGAGTCGACGCTGTTGACTCCGTAACTGCGGGTTAGCCAGTCTGGCCTGATCTAAATAAATACCCACCCCGTGTCCTGTACCCTGTCTGAACCGCTCCAGACTACCCCTCCCCCGCGGACATCAGGCGCCCCAGTGACCTTGACCAGCCCGGGGCGGGGGTAGCGTGTACGCGGCCGCACGCAGCGTGTTTGTGAGCGCCGCGCCGGCCGAGCTGTTTACTGCACGCCGCCGAGGCCGGCCCGTATTTCCGCACGGCGTCAACAGCTAGCACGGGATGCCGGTAAACAACCCGGTGCGGCCGTCAACCGCAGCTCTCGGCCCGAGCTCGGCCCCGGGGGACAGCGGCAACAATACCGGCCCGGCGCGGCGGTCTATGGGGGCGGGTAGCGGACAGCTTTGATAAACAGGCTACTGGATACGGAGTGAGAAAGGTCAGGGGCAAAGGAACCCTGTAATTTTGATTATTCATTTTACATAGATAACATGAATCATGAATTTTAATATCACGTCCATGGCAGTTTGTATGGGCAATTACGGCTTTCATATGCCCGTCGTCCAGTCGCCTAAAGTTGCAAGCTTGTCCTTTCATTGCACGAGGGCGGTTTTCCGAGCACGGTCGGACCTTTTGCCAGTGCGTCGGACGGTGGCTGCGTGACAGAGCTGTCACATCTGTGGCACCGTCGAGGCCTGTCACCGTGACAGTCTGACATGTCCGTCCTGATCTGACCTTATAGCCACACCGCCGCCGCATGACGCGAATACGCTGCGCTGCGAAACAGCATCCTGTCTCCCCACTGTGACCTCTGCCCCAGGCAGGACAGCGTGGGTGTCAGTTCCGGGTGTCTCTCCCTCCCCTGCCGCAGTCAGTCGGAGTCAGACCTCTGGAGCGTAGTCCCGGGTCACCGGGGACGGTTGTACGCTGACGGTTTGGCCCGAGGGCGTCGGGCGCTGCCGCCGGCAGTGAGTGAGAAGTTCTCAGAGGCTTTGATCGGCGAGACGAGCTGTCCCGGCGTGTGGAGCGCCCGGCCGCGGGCGTTTGATAGCTGTGTTTCGGAGAATCGGCGATCGTTGCGCTGCTGAACGCACTATTCCCAGGAAGTTGACGAGCTGCGCACGCTTGGTTTCGGTGTTGGTGACCTCATCTGACCCCTGGTGACCTAACATTACCCCGAGTGGTCAGCCAAGACACCACTGACCAAAGTGGTGTCACGGATAACCACTCGGCGTCAGCTGAGGCCGCGCCTGTGTCACTATCCAACATGCAGTCACTGCTGCAGCGGCACCACCCCCGGGCCGCGCTGATCGGCGCCGGTCGTCATAGCTGCACTATCTGCAGCAGCGTTATCGCCCGCCGGCCGTATTTGTTTATGACTGATGTACGCATTGTGCCGCGGTGTATCGCAGCTGTGTAATAAACGGATGGCTTTATCCAAACGATAGGTGGGCCACCGGGGCAGCCGGCCGCCCGTGCTGCCCGTGCTGCCCGTGACGCCGGGGCAGCCGGCCGCCCGTACTGCCCGTGCTGCCGGGGCAGCGCGGGTCTGGCCGTGGGTTATTGGGTACAACGTTTACACGACGCAGGCCAATGATCGGGACTCCCATGTGACTGAAAGGACCGACTGTGAATGATTCACAAATCATTTCTGCTCAAGTGCATCGTGATAGCTATAGCCAGACGGCTGGATTTTTCTCGATCAATTGCTCGCTCAAAGTCATTTTTCGAAATTTCAAAATTCTCGCAAGTAACGATTTCCCTCGTTCGTCTCACCTCACCTTGATGTAATGGCTGTCATGGCTGTAACTATCCATAGCACTTATATTATGCGCATTATTGTGCATTTTTGTGCGTCTGACTGAATCAGCTGCGGATGAGTGAATGTGCGTCGCCTCTCCTTTATCAGAATTCAGACTGGTCTCGGTTGTGAAGATGTCGCCGATGTCAGATGTTCAGTACTTTTGATGTAGTATCGCTGAGAGGGATCTAGTTTCGGTTGTGTTATTTGTACGCCGAATGATGAGTTATACGCGAATCAGTTGAACGGCTGTCAAAGCAGGCGGTTGTAAAGATGGCGAGATGGCCAACTTGGTCAGACCTGACGGTCCGCATTGAAATGTGTGGCTACAGTTGCGAGATAGATCGCCTGTTCGCTCGGCACAAACCAGTTCTGTTCCGGGAAACACACTGTCTGCCTTCGGTGTGTCCGTTGAACCGCAGATGAATCTCGCAGAGTGGACTGGTCCACCGTTATGTCCGTCCCTGTGCTGGTTTAAGTGCTTGCAGTACCGTCAGACTTGCACTAGCTTCGGACGATTGGTTTTGTTTCGCCTGCTGTAGTAGGTACGTTTGGGCCTGGCATTGATTACGAGCACATGCTTAGTATAATCACTTTTCGGCTTCCGTAAACCCGATTTTAACACAACCACCTACCACCCTCCCCAGTCCTCAGTCCGCACTCCTCAGCCCCTCCGAACAACCGGCTCCCGACCGGAGTCGCATCTGTTTCGATGGGAGACGGCCGGCCTCAGAGGACAGATTGGTGAGCCGCGCCCGCCGCGTTCACTCCACGCACTGACGAGACATTGACGAGCGGCAGTTGGTCGGGACGGGCCGCCACCCGGACAGGAGCGTCATCCGTCCGTCATCCGGCGTCATCCGTCCGTCATCCGGGCCGTCATCCGTCATCCCGGGCCGTTGCAGACAGCTCGGCGCCCCTGCTTCCATTGGGCGGGCAAGGTGGCCGAGAGGTTGCAGTCTGAGGGTGGATGGAGCCTCAGGGCAACGCTGACGGTGGGCGAGCAGGACGTTGTCGTGGAACTCCTGACCCGTGTGGGCTCTCACCTGAGTCGTGAGGTGCGCCCGTGCTGTCACGGTGATCAGGGGACGGGTAGCTGTGCTGGTGTACCCCGAGACTGAGCTGGGAACTGTGAGTGTGACGAGTTCACCGGCTCTGCTGCTAAGATCGCTGGAGATAGGCTGGCGTTCAGTTGATGCATCAACATGGTGGTAATATAGAGATGTTCTACTGGTGGCGCTCACTGCTTATTCTGCTGTCTGAGTGTCACTGATGGTTTTTTTTTTTGTCAAGCCGCAGCCCGGTCTCTCCGTAATACGTCAGAAGGTGGACGTTGAGTCACAACAGTCAATGATGAGTAATGACCTATTGACTTCCCCCTTTCCGCCTTCCCGTTGGTCATGTGTCTATTGCACTGCTCTACTTTCGATAGGGCACCCCGGGATAGAGGGCAACCCTTCTTACTCACTCATAATCCCGTGTCTTGTAGCTCGCCTGTCACATCCCTCCACATCGCTTTCAAATGACTAATTCTTCTGGCCTTCGCCTCTCTCTCTCTCTCTCTCTCTCTCTCTCTCTCTCTCTCTCTCTCTCTCTCTCTCTCTCTCTCTCTCTCTCTCTCTCTCTCTCTCTCTCTCTCTCTCTCTCTCTCTCTCTCTCTCTCTCTCTCTCCCTCCCTCCCTCCCTCCCCCTATCAGGTAAGCCGGTGACCCGTGCCTAACCCCTGTCCCCTCTCTTCTGCAGGTGAGCTCGGTCATCAGGAGTACCAGTCGGGCGGCTAGACCGGCGTCCCCTTCGGCCAAGAGCCATGACTCGGCGGGCGGCGGCACGTCTATGATGATGCCCCCCGGCCTCCAGCACATGCAGCAGCTCATTCAGCACCAGCTGAGTCCGGCGCAGTTCCAGAACTTTTTCCAGCAGCAGGGACTCCTGATGCAGCAACAGGTTAGTAGCTCTCGCCTCATCTGAACAGCGCACGTCCCCTGTTTCGGAGAATATCCACAGAACAAAAACAGTATACCATACCAATGAACCGAAACGTTAACCTCAAGGGCTTCGCTCTGGCTAGGACCAGGACATGGCTGGGATTGGTGGCTTTTTATCATTTCTCAGTCATCTCATAACCAAAATTGGCTAATTTCGTCTTGTGTTTCGGAAAATATTTCTACGAACCGCTCCATCTGTATTTCCAGCGTTTGGTAAGGGAATCTGTCTGATGCGATTACCTGCTGTGGGTAATAGCCACGCGCACGGTGTACCCACCAATCAGATCCGGCTGCAGTACACAGAACTGAGCGTTTAGGTGTGTGTGTTGTCATAGCAACCACAACAAGTAGCGAGAACATACATACCCTGAGCGAGAACGGCCTCCAAGGTCCTGTTTTGATGCACAGAAATGATGGATTGGCACTAACTCGTAGCTACATATTTTGACGTTAAATGTATGTCCGGTGGTGTGCCTACCGATAGCAGTAAACCTGAAGACCAAAGTCTGATTGCGTTTTTAGGATATTGGTCTGAGGCGAGGTTTACCGCCTTGTTTATTGGCTGTGACGTCACAAGTGACGCTGCTGATGTCGTCTCCCTCTGACAGCAACATCAGTTGGCCGAGCTGAGTAAGAAACAGACCGAGGACGCTGTGCGGCAGCTGCAGGAGCAGCTCCAGATCACCATGTACCAGCAGACGCAGGTAGGTGGACACGGTGTACTTGCTGCAGGAGCAGCTCCAGATCACCATGTACCAGCAGACGCAGGTAGGTGAACACGGTGTACTTGCTGCAGGGGCAGCTCCAGATCACCATGTACCAGCAGACGCAGGTAGGTGGACACGGTGTACCTGCTGCAGGCGCCTGTAGCGCGACAGACCATTGTCCGTCCCCCGGTACATCAGAAGAAATTCCTCTTCTCTCTTCCGTCAGCCCTTCTTACCTTTTCCGGTGTTTACTCTCGGTATGGCATATCTCCCCCGCTTACACCGATGTCCTGCAGTGGTCTCAGCTGATTGCTCTCACCGCACGGTGAGCCGTGTACCCTCACCGACTCAGAACTCACACACTGGTCGGGGGCTCGACCGTCCCACTCCGCTCTGGCGGCGGTCACGGACCGGTGTTGGCTGATGGATGTCGGCTCACCACGCACTCCTTGCGTCAGTGACTGCCGGCGGGTCGGCCGCCCTCCCTGTCGCCCGTGCAGTCTTGTTTATGGCGGCGCACCAGCTGTTTTCATATAATAAATCAGCCGACCGACGCGACGGCAATTGGCAGCGCGTTAGTGCACCAGAAATGCGGCCGCTGCCATTTGTTCGTGGATGGGGAGGAGAAGTCAAGGGTAAACTCGAGTGAGCTGGGGTTGAATGTAATTTTAATTACCTATATGTATCAAGCGCTGCTTTAACGGACCCAGATGCACTTACTAAGCATATGTACTACCGGCACATGTTTCATGCATTCCTTTATGTAGTCTTTCGTCTCCGGATGCCGTTGTACCGTCTTTCATTCCTTCCTTTCCTCTCTCCCCTTCTCCCGGCCGTTCCACTGTGCGCCACCGCTGACCCGGCGCCCCGTCCGTGCCGTGCAGGTGGCTCACGACAAGAGCAAGTCGGCGGCGCTGTCGCTGCACCACTCGCAGCTGATGCAGCAGATGCACATGTTGCAGCAGCGCTACCTGCTGCACCAGGCGGGCATGGCGCAGCCGCCCGTCACCTCGGCAGGTCAGTCCGAGCGGCTCGGGGACGGGTAGGCAGGCAGTTAGGCAAGCGGGCAATCTCAGTCAGGAAGGAACGGCTAGTCGGCATTGTTTTAGTCAAATTCTTCAAATCCTATCGCGTTCAGATGCCCGATATTCGTATTTTTGCGTAAGTGCAATTGGAATGTCCATAACTGCCCTGTAAATATTTTAAAGTAATGGAAAATCCGAATTCGGGAATCCGTCTGTGGGAATCCGAAACTCACAGCTCCGACCATGATTGACAATAAAGGTCCTATAATGCTCTCGCAAACATAAATAGAGTATATTTTTGATAGATGGCAGGAAACAAATAAAGTAATAATTACTCAAGATCGTTTGTTGCTTATAGCTTTGATCGTTTGTCAAGAGTGCACTTTATAAGGATCCAACATGCCGTAATGCCATATACCTACCGCAGAGGGGACTCCACACAAATCCACTTGTTTGTGAGCGCTGACCGCTACCATTTCTTCTATACGGCACTTGTTGTCCGCCCAGCGGTACATACATTCACAGCTAAAAACAGCCGCCGTCTGCCACATCCTGGCGTTCTGTACAGTCGTGCGCTATCGGTGTCGTTTTTGCTGATCAGCACCGCCAGCCGTCTCGATCCGCAGCTGCGTCGCTCCTCCCCCTCCGATTTTAGTTCTGTAGAGCGCGGATAAAGTATGTTGTCTCTGCATGCATCCTGCTACAGTACACTGCCTGTGGTGGTGCGTTGTCCCGGCCGCCGCGGGCTGTCAAAGGGCTATACCTACTCTACATACGCCGCGCGGTAACCAACGTTATGACTGTCACGTTATTTAGTTCCGGCAGTGGGTGTCGCCCACTGAGCTCATGAGCGGGGCGATCCTCCGGCCCAGTGACCCCTCTGACAGCTCTCTGACCCGCCACACGCGTGACTCAGACCGCCACATATGAGCTCCGAGTGGCGGCGATGAGTCACGAGTCGTGGCACGGCGCACCGCAGGGCTGTGTGGTGAATGCTGAGTTTACGTAGGCGCTCTGTAAGTGACACATCGCTAATCTGCGATGATTCATAAATTTGAGCCAAGAGATGCCGTGAGCTTTTCACTAAATGCAACCTGTATTCAGACAATTAGTCGACTTTAATTCTGGAGCATAGCAATGTGTCAGTTAATGCTGATTCACTCCCTTTTCACGTATTCCCAGTCTCCTTTCCATTGATTCCTTTAAAAACGGGTAACTTATCATTGATTGTACCGGGAAACGAGTTTCCGATCTTTCCGTCTCCCTATCCCCTCTCCTCTCTCCTCTCCCCCTCTCTCCTCTCTCCCTCCCCTCTCTCCCTCTCCCTCTCCCTCCCTCCTTCCCTCTCCTCTATCCCTCCTCTCTCCGGCTCCCCGCTCTCCCCGACCCGACGGCGGCGTCGTGCAGTCTCGGCCGGCTCTCTCAGTCAGTCGGTCGGCTGCGCCCATGGCCCGCCGCGGCTCTCCCAGCCGCCCGCCGACCGATCGATAAGGTTCTGCGTGCGGCCACCGTCCGCCGGCGGCCTGCGACACGATGACGGGCCGTGTCGGGTCCCGGCGACATCGGCCCGCCCGTGTACCGGACATTGGCCCGCCCGTGTACCGCAGGTGGTTCGGTATGGGTGCGGTGGGGGTGAGGGGGCCTGGGCAGGGCCGGGGCCACGCGTCGTTCTAGTTCAGCTGGATCTGATGACCGATAAATTGCGAATTTAGTAGGGTAGAAGATAGTTCTTTTCTCTTCTGGATGACGAGAGCTAGCATATAACCGTAGTCAAGGTCTTCACTTAAAAGCTATATCAGCTGCGTCACTTTTCGATGAAAAAGCGCGGTCCGTTCATGACCCCTATCACCATAAATCATCTTTATGCCTGGCCGACTGCTGACTTCTGAACCTCGAGCTCTCATACGTGCTGTGATTGGCGCTTCCACCCGCCTCCTCTCCGTCCTTCCGTCGCTCGGTCGCCGTTACCGTCTATGAACTCTCCGTCGGATGTGGAGACCCGGTGCGGCTGACCCGTCCGAACCGGTCACAATCGATCGCCTTAGCTCGCGAGGTGTGAGACGAGCCTCGCCGCCGGCTATAATTAGCGCTGCGACCACCGGCCGGGCCGGTACAAAGCCGCCGCGCCGCCGGGCCGTCCGTCCGTCCGTCCGTCCCACGCCGGTAGGTGAGCGGAATCAGTTCAGTCGCGGTGGTGAGATAGAGATGTGATGTGTTGAGATTTGGTCAGAGGTGGGGGGTGAAGTGGTGAAGGGAGGAAGGGATACAACAGAGCCAAGCCGCCACTGTATGCGTGAAGTACTCGACCGACCCGGCCGCCGAGCCCTGCCCCGCGGCTGGCGGCGGAGATGGGTCCCCAGGGGCCCGGCGTGGGCACGTGGCCTGGGGTGGGGGAGGGGAGAGACGGCTGGACAGAAGGCTGTCTGCAGCCCACACCCGGTCGGTGGCAGAGTCTGGGACTTGTCACAGCCGGCTGCGAGGGAGTGGTGACCCGTCCACCGAGCGGAACTGACGGCGCGCCAGACTGGCGCTAATATCTGGCATTATACTGGCCCGCCCGGGCGGGGAGGGGGGATCTAATTCGTATGTTTCCGATGATTGTCAACGATTCCGTTCAGCCCCACAGCAACTGCGAACCCTGCAAAGCGAATGTGATGGCGTATCTGCTGAAACAGATGCACCTGGTGTGGATTTAGTGCGACGTGGCTCGTCTTTGCCATATGCTCGCTATCAGCGACACACGGGGACGAGCGGACCGCAGGGCCCGCCCCCGACCGGCAACTGTGCCGGGAGATATGTGCACTGTGCGCTCTGTGCCTATGTTAGAGGTAATTCACAGCGTCAGTCTGTCGGCCGACCACACAGCTGTGGCGGCATTCCTTATTTAGTGACCTCGTGTCGCGAACTGGTGACGTCCAGTTATTACGGAATGGTCGAACGTAATCATAGCCAGGCATGACATGGCTATTTGTGTGTCAGACAAGATCGTACGCGAAAATTCACGGCGTGTCACAATTTGGTGGGTTGTGCTGTCTGTCTGTGTTTCATGTAGCTGAAAGCTGTACTTACCTTACCGGAATGTTAACTGTGATTGTTGTGTCCAGTAGCGGGAGTGACTGTCTTTAATTCGGGTGATTGTTCATTCTCAGTTTACAGTAAAACAAGGACATTCCTTGTGTGTTATCCATGACAAGGACATTCCCTTTGATCTTATCGTCGGAAATGAGTTTATCCACGAATACTTTATAGTTACATCTAATGGACCGATGCATCGAAATATTAGTATCCATTGCAAGCCCTAGCACACGGTGCTTTTTGGTAGCTGCCTATTGTTGTTGATTCTCTTTGTAGTGAACATTTGTCGAACTGATTTATAATAGCGGTTTGCTTGTCATTTTCGTTGTTTATCTTTTCCTGTTAAGCTCGTTACTATGCTATCCGTTTTTATGAGTTGTTAACCCGCGCCCCACTGGGGTCTGTGTATAACACGCCCTACTGGGGGGGGGGGGGGGGCTATTCATAGCCCCCCTCCTAACTCCGAAACTACTGGGCCGATCGTCAAAATTCAAACGGCGTCTGATAGCCCCGGAAAAACTGTCGAGCAAAACCTAATTTCATTGACCTCGAGGTCACCGATGACGTCACAGGTCAGGTCAAAGTAAAAATTATTAGCACTTTGGCTTGTTCACATTTTGGGCTCTGGCCGCCGTCTTACAAGTCAGATCAGGCTCATTTTTGGTTTCCACACTCGTGAACAGATGCTCTAGATACCTTGAGGGTACCAAACTTGTACTTTGATTTTCAGGTCAGGGCCAGGTCATCACAGGTCACGAAAATATTATATCATGCGTCGGTCACGTGACACATGTTTTATGGTCCATTTAGGCCATAGATTTCGAATTTGATGTCGTCTGTGTCATTCGAGGTCATTTTGAGTCGAATTTAGCTTAGGTCAGGTCACTTTCAGGTCAAAAAGGTCAAATTTTGAAGTTAAAATTTTTCAACAAAAAAGGTGTCTATTGGATGCAGTTTGAGCTCAGAAACACGATGGTGCCATTTATATTGGTGTACGATGTCAAATACGTACTGAAAAAGTGATTTGAAAAATTAATAATTGTGAATTTTTTTGTAATAATGCGTATAACTTGGCCATTTTTTAAGATATTTAGCTAAAACTTGCTAGAGTTAGTCATAATCATGCGTTCTGTCACATATATTCCGGTTTTTTCGAAAAGTCAAAAACTTTTTGAAAAAATATAAAAATATAAATTTTGAATATTATTATATAAAATTTTCGAAATTTTCAAAATTTTGAAAATCCGAGATAGCAGTTTGATAGCGCGGTCAATTCTGAGTCCTTTCATGCAAAGAAATTGGATCTAGCTTAAAAACTGAGCTCTTGGAGCGATTGCCGTGGTTCAATGTTTTGCGTCGAAATCGGACGAACATGACGTCACTCTGACGTCATTTCCGGCCGACCTATGGTAGCTACGAAGTTCAAATTTTGACACAAGGTGTCAAATTGATGCAGCCGAAGGTACTGAAAGTTTGGCGTCGATACGTCAAGCGGTTTGGAAGTTATTGCAGAAAAACGGGAGGGGGCTATAAATAGCCCCCCCCCCCCCCCAGTGGGGCGCGGGTTAAACCCGAAATGAATCAACAGAACAGTCGTTCACTAAAAGCCCATTCTGCCGGAACCACTGCACCAGATCATATGCCATTATGTAAGTGACCTAACAGAATGCCGGATGCGGATGTTTTGTTTCGGCAAAAGTGTAGTGCACATTACAAAGCTCCCGTACCTAATGTGTTTGTTTTCCATATTGTGAACAAAAACTTCAGCTTACACTTGTTCCGTGCGAAAAGTTACGTAAACAAAATGAAAAGCGAAACTCTAAATTTTCTGAAGTTCACTGCACCTGACGTAAAAACGTTTATTTTCTCAGCCATAACACTTCTCAGCGTTAGCAACAGACCCGACACTGGCGCTCACACAGTCCGGATCAGTGGCGAACAAGCCGCGTTTATTTCTACTTTGATCGCTCGTCGCCTGCGCGCGTGTGAAGCCGCGTCTTTGCCGCCCGGCCCGGGGCGCGTGTAAGACCGCGGAAGCCTGCGCTCAGCCGACCGGCATTGTACCGAGTCGGCCGCATTAGGAGCGCCCAGCGGCCCTGTCAATGCATTTAAACAACAGCCGGCGGCAGCCTTTGTTGTTGTTTTTCGTCGAGCTCGTGGGCGGTAACCTAGGCAACGGCTAGCAACACTGACGGCGTATTGGCAGCGGCCCTGCGACGCGGTTTTCGTGAGGCATCTGTTGCAGGTGGATCAATGGAGGCGCGTGTGTGCGCGTCCGCCGCGCTAAGTGCCTCTCCGCGGGGCGGGGAGGCCCGCTGCCGCCGTGCACTGCAGCGAGAGGTGCACCGTGCACTGTTGGTTGTTAGGTATGTGTCCCAGACCGGTGGCAGACCTCACTGGTCCATGAGAGATGATGTAGAGCAGTGATTGATGGTGTTCCACTGTTCCATCATCCGCGTCAGTTACTCTTTCGCCGGTGGCCGAGTCACGCAGATGGGGTATTGATGCATTTTTCCTGCAGTGGTTACTTTGCGACAACAAACGCGCTGCGTTCACTGTAGTGCTGCAAACGGGTCCTGTAATCGTTGCAGCGCTGGCCGTGCCCGGGGCTTGTTTGCGGGTTATGTTCTGGGCGCATTCATAGGACCAGCGGGCAATTGTTTTATTTAATTTCGCGTGTTTCTGCGACATCTGTAGGCAGGCACTCGCTGCTGAATGTTGCAGGGTTTGACAAAAGTTGCATGCAGTTAGGTCGTTATTCGAGCATGTGCGTGTGGTTGTGCCGCGCACTGAATGTCCGGTACCCAGCTATTGTAGCACATAACCCGGGTTTATATAAACCTCGCAAACCTACTCGCCCAAAACATACACACAGAACGCACACACTCATTCGCACACTCTGGCCTGTATTTCTCTGTTTATTCCGATCCATTGGCGGCGGTCGCCATCACATCACGCGCCACGCGCGCTGTTTGGTCGTCGGCCGTGGTGTGTGTGCTCTGCTGTTGAGCATGTGTACGCTCCGTGCACTGGCCAGCTGTTCTCTGTGCCGCCCCACCGGCAGCCCGGCGGTAGGGCGCACTGTGGGTGCACTGGTGGTGCCGAGGCCGATAACACGGCTAGTCAACACGGCCATGTGTTGCCATGTCTGAGTGGCGGCGGGGGCTGTGAGTGCTGCCGACGCCGTGTGGTGGGCTGAGTGACGAGCCGCTGGACTGTTGAGGTCTCAGTTGCTGGGTTGTTTCGTTGATAAGCTGTTGAGCACTCAGCACTTCCGATGAGGCTGTCGACCATTAGCCAGAAAACCTGGCAACAAATTCAGGCTGCATACACAATTTCTGAGCCGAGCAAAGGACTGCAGCACATGCATTAGCAGCCTCTGACCTCTGGGTTTGATGCGAGCGGCGGCAGTCACTCTCGCGCCAGTATACCGTCAGCCGCCGGAGCTCTTGGCTCCGTGCGCGGGTCGCGGAGGGCAGTGCACAGTTCGGGCGCCGCGCGGAGGGCAGTACACAGTTCGGGCGCCGCGCGGAGGGCAGTGCACAGTTGGGACGCTGTTTACGCCAGCCGGCCGAGATCGCTGACCGCTGACCGGCGCTGTGGCGCAACGTGCAGCTGTTTCTCCGGTGCACCGCTGCCGGCCGGACGGTCTGGTTTCTTGCCGTGTTTGTTGCGTTTGTGCGTCCCGTCCCGCTCGGCCGCCGCGTGCAGCAAACCCCCACCGACCAGCCGGGCGGGCGGGGGGGGGGGGGGCAGGTCAATCCTCGGCCGCCGCCGAGCACCGGGTAATGTCCAGGCGCACGACAAACACTCGGCGCGGTCACCACTCGCGTCAGCCCAATAGCGGCCCTGTGTTCCCATGAAACGCGCGCGCCTCTTGTATCGACCGCGCCGCCCTGTAAAGGCGGCATGAATGGGCCACCAGCGAGCGCCGCTCGCCGTATGCGTGCCCCACCACTCAGGAGTGTCCTCCACTCCGAGTGGCAGCACTCCGAGTGGCCGCACTCTAGTCTCGGGCATGTTTTCCAGATCGCCGACGGGCGACTTATGTATACGTTAGCGCGAATTGGAATGTCAAAGGTCCATGCTGGCCGTCGTTGCGCTGCAATGTTTAATGTTTATTGCTGATTTTCGACTCAGTCCGGCGTACTGAGGTATGTACGTGCATATGAACGCGGCCGGCGCTGGGTTAATTGGGGCCGTGCGTTCTCTAATGTAAAACCAGATCCGTTCAGTGATGGTGCTTGGTCCACAGTAACGGGCGGACTAAGTGATTGCGGAAGCTGTGAGCTGATAAACAGTAAACAGTCAATACTCACAGGGCATGACACTGGCAGTGAAGCCGACCGTAGGCTGGCTAATAGCTGCTCATTGACATTATCAATGCGAGCGCCGTACTCTTAATTCCACCCGCGATATTGCAAATGCTTCCGTTCTGCATAACGTGTTGACAAAGTTATCATTATAGATACTTGTGGCTTACGGATAAACCAATCACCACTTGTTGGTAGGTAACCCAATGTTGCAGTGCTTATAATCCGTTGTTCTCCCAGCTTACCTACCTGAAATTGACGTGCTTCTAATGCGCTTGCACAGGCTTTTAGCACAGCAGCGTTATTTGTAGCTCAATCTCAATCTCCTGGTGACCTTTTAACGGTTACCAAGCCGCTTTGTTTCCTGTTACGAACGGTAATTTAAAGTTACATTATTAATATTTTTACTGGCATAAGCTGCCGGTATACATACATGTGCGGCTTCTGTTTTATCCGCATTTAGCATAGCTATTATGTATATGCACTTCCTGGTGCCTGGCGGCGTCATTGAAGGGGATGTCCGTGTGAAGCCTACGTCTCGTTTTTTTTTTTTTGCATTGCTGGCGTGGTGTGGCCTGAACTTACCTGACCTGATCTGACCTGACCTGACCTGACCTGACCTGACCTGACCTGACCTGACCTCTGCCCAGGTCTGTCGGTGAGTGAGGCGGGCGGCGCGTCCTGGACGGACAAAGCCTCGGACCGCCGCTCGGACGGCTCGTCCCCGCCGTACAGCTCGAGTCGCTCGCCGCCGCCGCTGCAGCCGCTGGCCGGCGCCAACGGCCTCCTGCCGGCACTCACCAACGGCCGCTGGGACACCCGCAACGGTACCGACGAGGAGCGTCACGCGCCGCCGCCGCCCCCGCCGCCACCGGCAGAGGAGGAGGACCTGACGGCCAAGACGGGGCCGCTCTTCAGTAACGGCATCTGCAACTGGCCCGGCTGCGAGGCCGCCTGTCCCGACCGGCCGGCCTTCCTCAAGTGAGTGCCGTCCGGGGCAGAGATGGGCGGGTGTGGTGTGTCGGGTGGTGTACTCACACTCTGTTGAGACTAGAAGGTCGTGAGGATGTTTGGAGACGTTCGACTCCGGTATATCATATTGCCGTTTATATATCGGATGACTCAATACAAGTTGCTCGAGTCTGACATTGATTAATGATCCATATAGCGTGATTTATCTATTTGCCGTCACGGACATAGAGCTGACAGCCGCCTATCAAATAATCATCGGCGCTCATAGCTCGACACTTCACCCTCCTATAACCGCTCTGACGTCTAACTCACCCTCGTCCCTCTCTCAGGCACCTGAACTCGGAGCACCGTCTGGATGACCGGTCGACGGCGCACGTCCGAGTCCAAATGCAGGTCGTGCAGCAGATGGAGACCAACCTGGCCAAGGAGAAGGCGCGGCTCTCGGCCATGATGGCCCACCTGCACATGACGAGAGAGAGGATAGAAGAAGCCAAAACTGAGCCGCCGGTAAGGAGACGGGAGAGCCAGGGTTGACCGTGGGAACTGGGAGTCAGTGTCGCTGATTAGAACGGGAGTACTCGAAAAGTTGAGAAAGTCAGTGGTGCTCCAAGGCAGTTAGGAATGCGGAACATTAAAAGTTGGGCGCGTTCTTACGGATGTAGTGGAAGGTACCGTGATAATAGTTCGTAAGAGATAGTTTGGGGATGGTTATGTTACGGAAGAAGGATGTGATTATTGCAAACTCTTTGTATACTGTATAATGAATAGTACGAGATATTTGACTGAAGTGTTTTCATTGCCTTCTATACGCCCGTTATGAGTTCGTCGCGCTGTACCTCGTTCTCTGACGCCGGCGCCGGTTCTGTCGCAGATGGCCACTAGCCTGCCGCAGGTGACGGCGGCCATGTTCCCTGCCTCGGCGCCGCCGGGCCAACTGCTCTCCGGTAACCCGTTCCTGCGGACGGCCATGCTGCACGGCCACCAGCCGCCGCCGCCGCCGCCGCCGCCGTCCAGCCTGCCGCCGGCCGGCCGACGGCGGGTCACCGACAAACCCATCTCAGCCAGTGAGTACCGAGGGTCACCGACAAACCCATCTCAGCCAGTGAGTACCGAGGGTCACAGACAAACCCGTATCAGTCGCAGACAAATCCATCTCAGTCACCGACAAACCATCTCAGCCAGTGAGTACCGGGGTCACCGACAAACCCATCTCAGCCAGTGAGTATCGAGTGTCAGAGGAGGGTCACGGGTAGGAGGGAGAAGAGGCTCGAATGGGACGGGCGTGAGGAGGAGCGGATGCGTGGATAAAAGAAGTGGTTAGTACTGTTATGGCGCATGAAGAATTTGGGATTAACTACTAAATCGGACTCGACTCATTGCGAACGATCAATGTATGAGTCGTATATAAACTGCGTTGAAGATAGGAGTGCGGTGGATATCGACTGCCGATCGATCTTGCACCGACTTACTGCAGTGGACGGTGCCCCTCCCCGTCCCCACCGGCGGCACGCAGTCGGTAGCAGCAGGCCGCCGGTCTGTTTTGATGCGCCCTGTTGTCTGTGTCGCTGTTTTTCCCGGAGCTGGACGGCACCCGTCGAAATCCGTCCTCACTCGATCAATGGACGGATGGCCAGTGGCGTGCTTATCCGATGCGTTGTTGTGGCCGCGCGACAAGTGACTCCGCCTGGCGGCAGCGCAGCCGCACACCATTATTATTAGCCGCGAAAGCTGAACTCATTACAATGCAGTCTGTTGGCTCATATTTAATGCGGCGGCGGCGGCGGCCAACACAGCTCTGACGGACAGCAAAACACAACAGAGCGTCCGCGCGCGGCGGCGGCCGGCCGCCAGCTCACGGCGAATTATATTTCGGGTAAACATACACCGGCCGGAGGCCGAATAACAGGCCCACTGCGTGCTCGTGCAAACAGGCGGCCGGCTGGGTAGGTGGGTAAGTGGGTAGGTGGGTAGGTGAGGGTCTGCCTGGCCGGAAGTAGAGCGGGATGGGCACGGGACATGGGACAGGTCACTGAGGGACATGCAGTGTCCCATTCGGAATACCGCGTTGGGGTTGGTTTGTGTTGCGTTGCTCTCGATTTGCGTTGCGTTTGTACTCTCCATTTATGAGTTTGTGCGCACTGCAGCTTATATGGATAGAGACATGGGCTGGTAGTTGGTACTATAGGTACCGTAACGTAGCAGCACAAAGCACCAACAACGAGTAACAAGACTGCGCGGAATGCCGGCGACACGTCCTCGCCGTGTGGACACGCTCTTTAGTGAAATATGCAAACACACTGCTCCTCGGCCATTCATTCCAGCATGAAACGATGGAGGCTCCGGCCGCGGGATCAGCAATATCTGCAAATATGTCATGTGTTGCTGGTGTGCGGCGCCGCACGCACTGGCATCTTAATGGGTTCGGAGGCGGCTACGGCCCGCGCCCCAAACGGAACCCATCGGCGCCGCATTGAGCCGCTGGCGAGTTTGGGATGTGTACAGAGTAAACTCGGGCCGATGCAGGACCGGTCGAGGTCAACTCCGGTCATGGCTCCTCAGGATATTCTGCGTTAGATAAAGTACAAGTTATTCGTCGAGCTGCGTGGACCGCGCAATGGCCTTTCAATTTTTATTGGGCAAGCATCGGTTTGTTTCTAGTCATTGTCCTTGTTCTTTTTCTAGTCTTTGTCGTTCCCTTCCATCCCTCATGTCTCCCTACAGCGTTCGTTTTCTGGCTGCCTCGCTCCCCTCCCCACCTCTCTCCTCTCCTCCGCCGCTCTCCCTCGGCGCGCGCCCGCCCTTGCGCCGCTATGACGCACTGTTTTGACGTCCGGGCCGTATTGATTTGTTGTTGTTGTGCTCTTTGTTTGCCGAAAATAGGCTAACAAGTGGTGGCGCACGGAACGAGAGGCGGGCCGGCAGGCGGGCAGATTGGCGGGTGGATAGGCAGCTGGTAGGCGGGCGGAAATGTGGGTGGATAGGCGGGCGGCTAGGCGGGCCAGCTGGGATGAGTGGATAGGCGAGCGAGCAGGTGTTTGGCCTGGAAAACAGTCGACTTTCGTTCACATGATGAAATCACGTACGGTGAATCCGCTGATACGTCAAAATGATCGGCAAATTAGTTAACCGAATGGAGACAAGTATGATAACATCAGGTACTTACATTGCATCAGAATGTGACATGCTCCAAGAAGCTTCAAACAACCGTTTACTATAGCTTGCTGTAGCTATTTGCCCTCCAAAGGCTGCGTTTCGGCGGTGCTGTCGGGGTTTTTGCGGTCGATCGACTGTTCTCCGGCGGTGGGTGGGTAGCTGACGGCTCTGACGATGTGTCACCGTGTCATTAGTGTGTCACCAAACCACCGGGCGTTGGAGCGATCCGTCCCCTCCACTCCCCGGCTGCCGTCCGGTATGTCAGCCCGCGTGCCGACCGGGGTATTATTTCAGCCCAGACGGACCACCGTGACTATTATTAATGCAGCGAGATTTTCTGCCTTATTTATAAGCGGTTGGTTAAATAGGTCGCCACGCGCGGTATATACTATGTCGCATGCCACTTCGATGAGGTATGCTGCGATACATGGGGTTAATCCGCATAGGTATGCAGACGTCCCGTAGACGTTTGCGGCCGATGTTGTGCCGGCTTTACTTTTCACTGTTATAGCACTGTGCCCCGTGTCAGGTGCAGTACCTACCATAGGGTCATTACACATCGGGCCTTCATTCGTCGCACTTTTATGCGTATAGGTTCAGTATGAAAACGTCTTGGACGCAGAAATACTTTTTATGAGACTAGGCGGTGTATTCTCATTTGTCTGGAACACCCGGATCACGACAATCTACCCAGAGAAGCAGGGGTGAGAGTATGACTGGTACAGTTAGTTTTCAAACCCTGTTTGTGTGTCAGCACCCGGGTGACCGGCGTAAATCATGTCACGTGATTGAACCAGGCGCGGCATTTTATCATTTACCTGCATTAGGAGTTGGTCACGCGATCTCACCGACCGTGGGGGCGCGGCCGGTCGCCCATGCACGTGAATACTGTGGGACCTGGGTTACTTGTCGCGTACCTACCGGGTGTTTTATTGCTCCTAACCGCGTAACGTGCCCCGCGGGCACGTACGGGGTCATGTCAACTGGCCGGCGTTCGATTCCGTGTTGGGGCGCGCTGTAGTGTTGAACCACGCTGTGATGGACAAATTGCGTGAGCGAGTTACAGAAGGGTTCTATGCGTGGTCGTTTACGAGGAAACGTACTCCAGTGGAACATAATGACAACGCATTGTTTAATTAAACAAGTTACAATTTCCAGCATCGTGTATCCTGCATGTACGGTGTATGTAATATGTATCGTATAATAGCATCATGTAGCAGCGTTGGCCGAGCGTAGATACCTACGCTGTACGCACATGTTTGTAAGGGACGATATTTTGAACACTCGGACCCACAATCACGTGAGTTTGTGTAAAACAACTTATCGCATATGTTTCACAAAAGCCCGGTGGTATTTTCTTTCGCTATCGGATGTTTTGCGTGCCGGATATCGTTACGCCATGATTAAAACGCGGTTTGTTGTTACGATTATGTCGATGTGCCACCAGGATCGAGCGAGCGTACAAAGCGCAGGAAACACTCACTCGTTGCAAAATAATACGGAAAGCAGGATAACGGTTATTTTGCATGCGGTTTAATAAACTTGGAGATAGTATCTTTGACTGATTAGGAAAGGGACAGCTGTTTCGGTATGTTGACGAATCAGCTTGCGTACAATACTATTCCGCGTTTCACAATTCACAAATTATGCGTGTGTTCGTGTGTTCGTGCGTTTGTTCCCATTATCTCTGCTTGTCAACCAGACAAACATTAATTTGCCATCCGGTGCGGTGGAAGCGCTCGGTTATGTGAAGTCGACTGTTTATTTCCGGTCGTTGGCTTGGACGATTGGCAGGAATGGCCGTCCAAGGCCGCTGGCTCCCTTCGCCGTGTGTTTATGTACCTCTTGACCCCTGTTCCTAGACCTCTGACCCCCCCCCCAAACCTCGGGGGCAGGTGACAGTGCGGACACCATTATGGTGCATCAGGTCATTGGGCACATTGGTGTCGCGGGGACGGTACAAGGGGTTAGTTAACTATAACATTGCGGCGCATGCGGCAGATGCCTTTTGGGTGCGAGGGACGGTTGTTGACGGGGAGTGTGATGCACACAATCAATGAACAATACCAGCGGTATGTATTTGTATAGCCCTCCCCCGTGCCGGACGACCACCGGGTCACGGTCGTTCTCTCTCCTCCGCCGCAGGTCCGTATGAGGAGTCGCCGGCTCAGCGGAGGCGAGCGGCGGAGCGGTCTGGACAGGACATCACTGAAGGTGAGGCCGCTCTCACACTCACAGCTCTCACAGTTAAATCACAGTTCACGCATAGCCGGGCACTTCAGCGTGGCAGGGATTACAGGGGACCGTATGTGTGAGGTGTAGCGTCCTCACAATCAGTTGTGCAGTGAGCAGGCCTGAGGACAATGATTCACCCCTCTGCCTGATGCGGGCCCTCTGTTGGGAACCTCGGCCACGGAGGGTGCTCTCGGGATGGAGAATTTCAATCGGAATGCGTAATGAAATGGAATTGTGAGCCGGCGGACGCGGAGCTGGATCAACACAGCTCCCAAATGAAAGAGTTGGCGATTAGTTAAATTTGTGTTTGCTCGTTAGATAGTTTTTCATCTCGACTCTCCAGAAAACTTCAACTTATTTATGCCGTCTTCCTTTTTACCCGTGGGCCAGTCCCTGGGGATGCGCGCGAGGCTCATAGCTGTCTCAATAGACGGATCCCTGACGATGTTTGCCGAGTTGTAAACAAGTAAAACTCTGTCAAAAAGCAGACTATAATCCGTGTAATTGCATTATTCAATTAGATTGTTTGTTTAAGACTGATGTGATGACTGGAGCTGTAGTCTTCCGCTCACAGGACTATTTAAATGATAAGCGCAAAGAGCAATGGTTGGGGAAAATCCCTTTTGACTTGGTCTCTATGCCTCTGATTTTTTTTTTTTAAGCAGGGTCATCTCTTTTATTAAAAACACGAGCGTGTCAACACAAATGGAATTTACCGATGGAACGGCAGGCTGCAAAAGTTCCACAGATTTATGCAAATCGAGCGACGAATTAAATTGTTTTACAGCATTAGCATTTGTCTTCTCAAGCGGCCTCAAGCCCAGCTAGTTTTTTGTTTCTCCCTTATATCCATCGCATCAGTAGCTGTATGCGTTTTAACATTCTGAGCAGAGTGTCCTATTATAGTTCACTAGATGACTTATATGATTGCATTCCAGAGGATATCTTCCCTGTGGCTTCTACCGAGTGCTGCAAATAAATAACTTGATGATCAAGATCAATTCACTTTAAAATGTCACCCCCGCTTTCACTGCCACCCTTACTGGCCCGATGGTCTCAGATTTGACCCTCCCCTTCCCCTCAGAGCTCGGTCGCAACAGGGAGTTCTACCTGACTACGGACATCCGGCCACCGTTTACGTACGCGTCTCTGATCAGACAGGTGAGTTCGGTCCGCGGTCAGCGCCGCCAGGTGAGTTCGGTCCGCGGTCAGCGCCGTCAGGTGAGTTTTCGGTCCGCGGTCAGCGCCGCCAGGTGAGTTCGGTCAGCGCCGTCACCGTCCCCCCCCCCCCCCCCCCCCAGAGATAGTGGCACGGCGCGTCTCTGATCAGACAGGTGAGTTCGGTCCGCTGCCACTCCACTAACAGGTGAGTTCGGTCCACTGCCATTCCACTGCCAGGTGAGCTCGGTCCGCGGTCAGCGCCGTCACCGTCCCCCCCCCCCCTCCCCAGAAAAAGGGCGCGGCGCTCGGCGGCTCAGTAGCGCCCGAACGGTGGCGAGTGGAAATAACGCTTCTCGGAATGTGTCATTGTTAGATTGTATTAGCAACGGGTCGACTAAAAAAACTGTACAAGTATCGTAGAGTGATTGTTAGTCGAAGACAGGGAATCCCTCATGCTTGGTATGGTGAGCTGAGAGCTCCAGTGCACTGCGGTTACCGGCGCTGTTATTCGTATTGTTCTGAAACCCTGTGTGTCTGCAGTGTCTGAGTGTTTTCGTGGTGACCTGAGCCGACCTGACCTGAGCTGACCTGACCTTTGTCCGTCTGCCAGGCGATCATCGAGTCTCCGGACAAGCAGCTGACGCTGAACGAGATCTACAGCTGGTTCCAGGGCACGTTCGCCTATTTCCGGCGCAACGCCGCCACCTGGAAGGTAGGGCGACCGGGACTCGTCGGTCAGATCCAGTCAGATCCAGTCCCCGGTCCTGGTCAGATCGATCCAGGCCAGATCCGAAGCCTCTTGCACCGAAGTATCTGCCTAGGTCAATTGCGATTTCATCAGATTCTCTTGTACCGTACACCGCAATCGAAAAACTCTACTGTGTTAATTTACCTAGAAATTCTACTGAGCAGATACAATCTTGCGTTAGGAGCTGATGTAAGACAAATTACCACCGTAGTTTACGCTGTTGCGCGGAAACAGTTTTTTCTACTCTACCTAGCTAGGTATTTTGGTGCAAGAGGCCTGCGGTCCTCAGTCCGATGGCTATATCCAGCTTCTTCCCTCGGTCGCTGCACGTCAGGACCTCGTGGCGGACCAGATCCAGTCGGAGCTCACCGTTCCTATAGATACAACCCCGTCCCTCCCTGCCGCCTTCCCTTGCCTCTCCCTCCCCTTACTCCAGTATCTCGCCGTAGTGCGTAACACCCGCTCAATGCCCACCCGCCAGCGATGTCCTCCAGTGTCATGTTCCCCATAGTTCCCTGTCATTACCTGTCGATCATGGCCGCATTGTTCTTATTTGATTCACGTCTAATGACTGCAATGGCGGACGGTGGGCCGCCTCTGTTACCAGGCGCTGAATACATCGCCGGCCGCCGCGCCATGACAGCCCTGTTTGTAGTGCTGTATTCTGTGTATGCTCGCACTGAATTAGGCCTGTTGTCTGTCCAGGCACAGTATAAATGCGGGTTGTTGGCGACGAGTAGGTGGGGAGGGAGGACGGGAATTCATTCTTAGAAAATGGTTGGCGCACTGAGGACTGTTTGTATGTGGTTGTACGTTTTGCAATGACACAATTTGCTATAACAAATATCCTGCGGATCAGAAGAAAGCATGCCCGTCCGATAGGGGAGGGGTCCCGGGGCGGGGGTTGGTGTATAGAGTGCGTAGGCGACGTAGGACAACCGATGCGCCTTCTCCAAACGTATAGCATTACCCGCTGTTAAGTCTGGAATCCCAACTGAGGTAGTAGTGAACGTTAGACAGTGGAACTGTAAGTTTGGTCTGCCATTTATCGTTACTACGCTTTAGTGATGTACTTTTGTTGCTGGCTGCGTAGGATAACCGTCTCAAGCCGTGACTGCATGCGGACTATGCGAGGGGTAGGTGCTCCCCCGGGGCTCCTCGGGAAAGGTTCGCTCCCAACTCGCCGGCTGGGTGTAGCGCCCGCCGGCAGCCCGCCCCTCCCCGGCGCCGCGGTAGCCTGCCTTGTTTGTGCCGTCTCTAACCGCCGCCCCGCCTTTCTGTTTCGTCTCGTGACGACCTCACGGTGATTTTCTGTTTGTCTTGTCTTGTAGAACGCAGTGCGCCACAACCTGTCCCTCCACAAGTGTTTTACCAGGGTGGAAAACGTCAAGGGCGCCGTGTGGACCGTAGACGAAGTGGAGTTTTGCAAACGGCGCCCTCAGAGGTCTACTGGGTATGTTTCGGGCGATGGGCCCCCGGCGGCGCCTCGGACGGCAGCCACCTACCGGCGGAGCGAGAACCATTAGTTCACGCTCCTGCCACCAGGTGGTCAAGTCGGAGGCGCCGCCGGTCGGCGCTCGCCGTTTTTATTCAGCTTTTCACACTCTGTGCTTACTACTCCCACTGCCCGGCTAGAACGCGATCCGCACCAATCTCTCCCTCCACAAGTGTTTCGTGAGGTATGAAGACGACTTTGGTTCATACTGGACGGTCGATGATGACGAGTTCGTCAACCGGCGCCACCTGTCCAGAGGCCGGCCCAGAAAGCCCGTGTCCGGGCCAGCCAAGGAGTAAGCGCCCGCCAGCGCCCGCATGCCAGAACCTCCCGCGCGCGCCGCCGCCGCAGCTGCCGTCTCTGACGCAGGGCTCAGTGAGAAAACGTCCATTTGATGAGAAGTCCGTTTAAGTGCGGGTACTGCATAGATGCCGAACGCCTTCAGAAAGGCCGTCGCGCTTTTCTGAAGTTTGTGTTCAAAATTAAAGTTTTTATCCATTGAAATCCTTCTGAATTTCGCAACTCGTTTGTATTGATAATTTCAAAAAGTGTCTAAATTTTACGTGTTTCCGTACGATGGATGGCAGTTGTTCAACAACTTTCGTGTGCTGTTTATATTTACAGAGGGGTACTTTTTAAATTCCAAAAAGGGGGCACGCACGTTAGCTCACAGAGCCCAAATTATGATTTGCTTCATTTTGTTGCGCACACCTCCAACCGCTTATTTTGATATTTTAATCTTATTTCGTAGATTGTAATTAAATCGATTGCAGTTTTGGTGAATTGTCTCGTCTCAGATTTCTCAGCATTCGGTTAGCAGTTTTAACCAGTCGCGTCTCCTCCCCAATCCTTGACCTCGCTCGCTTCTGTTGGGTGAACAACTAGTCTAGCCAACAATTAGCCTAGCTACTAACGACAGAGTTTGGAAAGGAGGCAGCTCGCGGCGAAAGCTCAACTATCGGACCGCAAAAAGTCTGAAATTATAACGCCGTCTTGATACCACGTCGATTCTTCTTGCCTCTCTGGTTGTACCGCAAGCCACTTGTCCTATGCACCGTCCAGCCTGCCGCCAAGTCGTGCGTGTTGCGCCGATACACTCACTATTGGATAGCTTTTTGCCGAGTATTTTCATCGCCATTCGGCAGAGTGCACCGGACTGAAGCACGCAATTCCCTTCCAAACATGTCGGCATGCTAGATGTGAATCTAAAAGATGTGTTTACATCACGATGCATTGAACACTTCTCTTTTCATCTTTCTCTACTCGCATGTCTGTGTCTCTGCTTGATATCATTCAATTACTTTCTTTGAACTGATGCTCGACTCTAATTGATGTTTATGCCTGTTTTCATTTTCTGCTCATCAATCGTTCGGATGTTCAAAGTACTTTTACATATTGACGCATATATTTAATTGTTTGATACCTGTCGATAAAGTACAATTATTAAATATTCGCTTATAAACTGTGTCGAGTTAGTTGTCGAATTAAATGGTATACGTTCTTTCACATCCTTGAGAACATGTGCTACTATTTTAGTGTTTCGGACGGTATCGGAGCGTTTCGTGTCTCTTTGACGCCACCCAGACCGATCTAACGAGCTCCTCTGTCTGTCTCTGTATTTACAGTCAGGCGCGCAGCCCGACCCTGTCCAGTAGTCCGACACTGTACGGCGACGCCATCAATGCCAGTCTACAGGTAACTTATACTCGCGAGGCCTCGGTCGTCTCCGTGTATAGGCTGTGTTCAGCTCGTCATTACGGTGCTTATCGCATTTTTTTTATTTTACCTGAAGGTCACAGCGTATTGTTTTTAATCTAAGTTACTTCATTCATTGTATATGCCACAGTTCGTCCCAGTTTTCAAGCAGTTCGCTCTCCAGAACTTGTCCTTCACATAGGATCAGTCGTCTTATGTTACCCTCGCTCTCGTCTCGTCCCTCTCCGCTCGCCCTCTGACCCTGCGCTCTGACGGCAGTCGGCGCTGGCCGACTCAACTCTGCCGTTCATGGCAAACGCGGCCGACCGGCTGCGGGAGCTGCGGGAGCGCGAGGCGCCCACTCTGCTGGGACTGCACCGGCGTGCGTCGCCCTCGCCGCCCAGACACTACCGGCCAGCTAGGTGAGAAGCCGGTCGCCTCTACCACATTGCCTATTCTATCAGGCGCCGGATCTCTGTTAGGGGATTGGACCGATGTTAGGGCTAAGCTCTCGTCGTGATGGAATGGTGGACCGCAGAACGAGTGTACTGTATTGTATTGTATAGAGGGGTTGGAAGGATCGAGGCAACTTTCTAGAAAGATACTGATATCCTTTGTAGTGCCTTGTGTGTGATCCAGCGTTTCGCGGCGGCGTTCTGACCTCCCCTCTCCCCCAGCGCCAGTCCGGAGCGCGAGCCGCGGCCAGCCGACCAGTTCTCCCAGACGGCCGTCAAGCCCGACTACGACGGCGAGGCCAGCGGCGACGGCGACTCGTCCCGGGACGGCGCCGCCAGCCGCGACACGGGCCTGCCGACGGCCATCTCACGGGCAGAGGTAACCGAGCAGAGACCGAGTCGGGGTGTTCGGACGAATGGAGGTGTTACTTGTCCTCACGGGCAGAGGTAACTGAGCCGGGACAGAGCCGGGGTGTCCGAACGAATGGAGGTGTTAAGTTAGTTGGATGCCGGATACGTTTATCCAGTTGTGGCTTGTGGTAAACGAGGTTCCGAAAACAACTCAGAAATGGATGTTTGTTCCTTTCAGAGGTGCTCTTTACGTGTGAAAAGTGCTGGCTTGCGTGCGTGTATTTTTCGGAACGTGTCCCTGTGCAGCGCGGCAGGAGTCGTGGTGACTTCTAACTATTGCGTATGTATGTAAAAGTGTGGCCCCGTGTATTTCAGCGATCGTGTAGCCCCCTCACGGTGCTGTCTGTCTCTCCCGTGCAGCAGGACCTCGGCCTCTCTGGTGAGGGCCCAGTAACTGACGTGTTGCTCTCTCCCGTCCAGCAGGACCTCGGCCTGTCTCTGGTGAAGTCCGAGTACGTCCCAGAGGGCAGTCAGTCGATGCCGGAGACGGCGACGGCGTGAAGAGCGCCCGCCAGCAATACAGACACCTCCCGGAGACGGGCCCAGCCGCCCGGCTCCAACGCTCAGCGCGCGCAGAGGACCAGCGCCGCCTAGCGGCATCCCTGCGCACTTCACTGTGACCGCTCGGCGGATAGATGGCGCCATACGGCGCCGGACGCTCGCTCGCGCCCGTCTCAAATCAAACGCCCCGCTCGGGGGCGGACAGGCGGCGCTCGCGCGCAGTGTGCAACGCCGCCCGGCGCGGGCGCGCGAGACAGACAGACGGACAGACACTGTGCGCCGCGGGTTTTGTACCTGTGGGCCTGTTGTGTACAGCTGTTCCACCTCATTCTACGGGTTTCGTTGCGGCCGTGCGGTCGCCGCCGCTGGTGTGCGTGTGTTGCGTTGTGTTTGGTTTGTGGCCACCGCTCCGGTGGCCGGCCGCCCTCTTGTCTGCCTGCCTGGCGTGCGGTGGCGCTCGGCGCCGCCGCGCGGCGCCAGTAGTCCCCATCGGTACACCCAGTACAAAGCTTGCAAAGATGCGCGTGTCGATGCCATAGGATCTCCCGGCCAGTGCAGGGGCCGGCCGGCCCCCGGCACCTCTCCATAACTAGTGTCATTGTCAGACTGCGCAACTGTGAGTCGCGTCCGCTCGGCGGGGGCGGACAGACGGACCGAGTACGAGCGCGCCAGGCGGGCTCGGAGCCCGCGCTGTCGGGGTCGGAGTGGGGCGGGTGGCGCTTTGAGCTTAGGAGGGCGCCGCGCACGCCGTCCGCCGGTGCATCAGGGATGATTATCGGGTCCGCGCGCTGCGCTCGCGCTCTCGCCAGTTCCGTTTCCCGGGGCGTCCGCTGGTGCCAATCGCCACGAGCCGGGCGCCGTCTGTGTTTCGACATTCCCGGTCGGGCGGCGGCACCGCTCGGCCGTCCGGAGGCGCCCAGCGCTTTGTGTGATGTTCGACCGACCGGCCTCCTCGGGGTCACCTCCTCTCAAAGACGCGCGCATCTCAGCCCGACAGTGATTCGCCTACCGTTTCCAAGCTGTCTCCACTTAAAACGCCGGCCAAAGACCAATCAAAACTCGGCAGTTCTCTACAACTGGCGGCGCGCGGTGCAATGGCGCTCCGTTCGGAAATTCTCTCGCGCGCGCGGCAGACGGCGGCAGGCTGGCGCGCGTGCAGTTTACCTCCCACTGTTGTGACGACAGAAAGCTGACGCTTTTAGTTCCTAGTTCCGGCACGGATTGTGAGGGCTCCAAAAGAGAGAGAGGGGACGGGTGGGAACTAGGGAGGAGCGAGTGTCCTCCATATCAGTTGCCTGTGTAGTACAGTGGTTAACAATAGACAATAAACGCTTCTCATCGGCGTCTCGTGTGTTAGAATGGAAAGCACGATGGCAGGAGTAAAACAGTATTCTTAGTTCTAATGTAAAGAGATGCGATTCAGCCGCGGAGCTTTACGGATCAGGAATCTGACGAATCCGGGACTACGAGAGAACAGCATCACTACGGCAGAATTTCGCGGACCCTTTGTAGCTTGATGCGACCAGACAAAGAGTAGGACCTCTAGCAATACGAGCTTTCAGTAACGTCCTTATATTAGAGAGCACCACATAACACCTGCACCTCTCGCTACGCAATTTTCATAACAAACGCTTGTGTAGAAACATGGGCGGCTCCTGCCAGTCTCCAGTCGCCGATGATTTGCGGTTTTCTACGCTTCCTGACTCGATTCCACCTCGCCACCACACATACAAACCGTCCCCTGTGCCCATGTATTGTCTCGCGCGTCGGGCGATATAGAGCTCTCTCACCGTCCCGGCGGCGGCCGGGCTTCAGAAGCCCGGCTCGGCAGCGGTGGGCTCCTCAGCCCAGCTCAGCAGGGGTGGGCGGCGGCGGCCCGGCCGGCCGGCGCTAACACAGCCCTCGGCGGCGCGGAGCGGCCGCCTAATCTTCCAGGAAGAAGTAGTTGCCTCCCTTCTTCTGTTCCGTGTCCTGGCGCGGCCAAAAACGGACGGATGTCACCAATCCCGTCAGGAATATACACCCGACAGCAAGACAAAGATGAGAGGGGCTCAAACACATATCTAATGGGATGTTCATGTTCATTCAGCGGTGCTTATTATTGTGGGATGCTAGTATTCGATGACACAATGTTTGGAAGCCGGCAGCTCTGTGTCGCTAGCTCAGTTATGTAACGGTGTGACCGTAATACCTTTTGATATGCGAGCCCAAAGGATATGACGAAGGATATGACGTCAAAGGCATTCCGGTCAAACGGAATTGATTAGGCTAATACGCATACGTAACCACACTAGGCTGCCTTTGATTACCATTAACCTGACTCAACAGCTGTAACAGCGCAAACCCCCTCCAAACACACGTCAACACACACCGGCCGGTATCCATTGCCTTCCGAGTACTGTGAACTGCGTCACAGAATATAATTACTCGCCGTACCTTCACGGAGTTGAGCTTGTTTATCCGCGGTCGGTAGTTGTTGGGGTCCCTTCGGAAGGTAATCTCCAGTTGCGACAGGAACTTGTTCATACCCGCCAGCAGCGTCTGAGAATGGCATGCGTCGGTGTTAGACGGTTGATGGGGGAGACGCTGATAGGAAGGTTACGGCATAACGTTGGAACGGAAACACTGAAATGTAATAACGTAGCTCAATTTTTAAGTGAGGTCGGATCCACGCCGGCCGAATAACAGATGGGATTATGGCCAATCTGTGACCTTCAAAATACGCTAGACAATTACTGCTAACTACAAACACGAAAGGACAAAGAACATTTTTCATTCAGTTCAGACCATAGGATGATGATGAATTACAAGAATCGAGCGCCTAATCTAGATTTCGTAAGTCATCGCTGTCACCTGCCTAGTGTATCGATATAGGGTTCCAAATTCATTATCAGTGTCTGGGCATCCGACCCTTCACTCCCTGCACCGAGTGTCAGTACCTCCGCGGGGTGTACGTAACTCCGCGGTGTTACCTGTGGTGCGTTGGCTTCGGTCGAGATGGACGGCTCGCCCTCAAAGACAATGACGCGATCCGCCAGGTACGTCGCCATGATAAAATCGTGCTCCACCACGAAACCCGTCTTCTTAGCGTGCAGGATAAATCTGACAAAACGGAAATTGGGTCAGAGAATCGGCAAGCAGACGGCAAGACAGCTTGCAATTTTCTTTCATTGATCCTTTAACTCTATGCAACTTAAGCGTCTTCCACGCACTCAGCCCCTCGACAGCAGCACCGGGACGTTACCGAAGCGCCTACCTACATCGTCCGTAAAACTATCCGAAGAAACAAGCGGTCTGGAAGACAAACCACTCGTGATAGGATTGCATAAAACCGACGGTGGCAGCATTCTCCCGTTCCACTGACAATGATCCTTTGCGCCTACCCCTCAATCTCCCACCATCATCACTTCCCGCTCCATCTCATTCTGTTCTGTAACTGCCCTCGGTAACACTGACCTCTTGATGACCTTGGCGGCGACCAGACGCTGCTCCGAGTCTAGGTAGGCGGACGGCTCGTCGATCAGGTACACGTCGGCCGGCTTTCCGAGGCAGAGCGCGATGGCCACGCGCTGCAGCTCGCCTCCGGAGAGATTCGGCACCTCCTGGTCGATGATGTCCTCGATCTTCAGCGGCTTCATCACGTCTGTTACGAACTGTCGAGGGGAAGACGGGTGAGAGGCCGTTCATTGAACTGAGTGGAGGACGGACAAGACACCAAAGTTTAAGATCACCAGACAGCTTGGTGTACAAAAAAAAACTTGATGAACCATTAGAAGTAAATACAAAGCTACAACTCTCAGAGTTAGAACTGTGACGCAAGCAAAAATGGGAGTCATATGTGTGATGAGACCGTCGGTCAAAGAACGAGTCAACTGATGCGATAATGCGTAAATAACCAGCGACCAGCGGATAGATAATTGATGTACCTCCCCCAATTTCCTTCCTAGAACGTCTATCGCCACTGATAGTTCTCTCTATCCTATTCCTACTCACCGCTCTCCCCCCTCCATCTCACCTGCGGGTGTACGTAGGCGTCCCGGATCTTCTCGTGCAGCAGCTGGCGCACCGTGCCCGTCGACTTCGGCGAGATCTTCTGCGGCTTGTAGCTAATGTTCATCTGAGGCACATCAGCGGCTCCCTCGTCAGGCGCCAACCGACCGGCCATCATCCGGATGAAGGTCGTCTTGCCGGTGCCGTTCTCTCCCAGCATGACCAGGATCTCGGAGTCGGTGAAGTCTCCGGCGTGCACCTTCAGCTCGAAGTCGCCCATCTTTTTCCGCATGTCCGGGTATGTGTAGCGCGCCATACGCTTGATCTGGGGAGTGCGTGGGAACAAATGGGAGTTTGTGTATTAACAGCGTAGTTGCCGACTGTCGAGTGGGATGAAATGCGACAATACATCTTATAGACGCTTCGCATGCACGGATCAAGCTTCAATTAGCGTGGTTCTGCCATATGAAGATCGTCCAAACTTTCAAACCAAAAAGTACTTTTGAATAAAACGACGTCCTGCCTCCAGCTTACCCCAGACTCTCCCAACCCCTCACCTCCTCTTCCATGGCCGACTCGGAGACCTTGAAGACGAGTGACTCGTCCCTGAACCGCAGGTTCTCGGTCGGCACGTGGCCGTCCAGGAAGATGTTGATGCCTTCGCGGACCGAGAAGGGCATCGTCACCACGCCGTAGACGCCCGGCTTGCCGTACAGCACGCAGATGAAGTCGGAGAGGTAGTCCAGCACCGACAGATCGTGCTCCACCACAATCACATATCTGGCGGGAGACGAGATGTTAGCTGTTGCAGGCAGTCTTCGAAGAGGAGATAGACGCAGTTTAGATAATGGACTTGAGGCTGACACATGAGGGCTGGAGTTCAGTAATTGTCAGCAGCTACATAGCCTGAACGATACAATGCAAAAGACGCACTATTTACATCATACAGTTATCTGATACCATGGCTTTGACAGAACAAAGCAGCTTCAGACACCGCGCTTCTTGAGAAACCCGACCATAATAGCGGTCTTGGGGCCTGCGGTTTCAAACCACAGTCTCCCATCAGCTCACCACGCCACCCCGTCCCTCTCTCTTTCCCGATCCCGTTCCCAGCGCTCTCACTTTCTCTCGTCGACCAGGTTTCTGATGGTGATGGCGCAGCGCAGACGCTGCCGCACGTCCAGGTAGGAGGAGGGCTCGTCGAACATGAAGATGTCCGCGCGCTGGATGCACACGATGGCGCAGGCGAACCGCTGCAGCTCTCCACCAGAGAGGTTCTCAACATTTCGCGCCCGCACGTTGTTCAGGTCTGAAACGGATGGAGGGAGAGGATTAGCGAGAAAGATAAAAAGGCTAGTGGTTATGAAGACTCAACTAGGGCAGATGGAGAGGGCTAGAACCTGTAAGCTAAAGCTTAATAATGTGGGCTTGAAGGATACCGAATGCAGCCAGCGCGGATGGTATTGCGCAGGCGAGTAAAACTGTTAGTCATGGAACGTCATCCAGCCCGGAGGGTGTTGACGGCAGGTAAACCAGAGCTCCGTGGGGACAGGACGGCCGGCGGGCGGCGTGACCGGCGTGACTGAACCATTCCGTACGCCACTCACGGTGATGGGACAGGTGGTGGTAATTAACGAATCACGCCCGAGTAGTGGGCGAAACGTGGCGAACGTCGTGACTTTCTGAACCAAAACAGCACGGATTCCTACTCTGGGAGATTCATCTCGTCATGCCAACACTACTGCGCTCAGTAAGTTTCTATTCGGCCCCGACTAGCTGCCTGGCACATGCAGCGTTACCAAACTATCGAATTCGTATTCTCCCGGCCCGTATTGGTACTTTCATTTCCTAGCCCCGTTCCAGCTAAACTAACAGTTAAAACGACCCATTCTAACCCATGTCCACTGCACCCACCCGTCCGGTCTCACCCAGCGCCTTGCAGACCTCGACCTGGTTCAGCATCTCGTCCTTCTTGTCGAGCAGCTGCTGCACCGAGCCGCGCACCGCCTTGGGGATCTGGTCCACGTACTGCGGCTTGATGATGGCCTTGAGGTCGTCCTCGAGGATCTTGGTGAAGTAGTTCTGCAGCTCCGAGCCGCGGAAATGCGTCAGGATGTCCGTCCAGTCCGGCGGGTCCTGCGTCAAAGGAAGAGAGGGAAATCAATAACTCCCTACGGTAGTTTAAGAGGTACACATTGCTAAAAAGGAATGCCGTGGATAGCCATGACAAATACAACGTGTACCTATCCACGATGAACCACCCTGTAAATAATTTAGCTACAGCGTCAATTCAACAACTTATGGCGACAGAAATCGATACACGTAATCGACAATATACACGTAAACGAGCCATCTACGTAAGTCAAACTTAGCGGAAATCCAGCAATCAGCATCGACATAATCTGAAGTTACCGCTGCCCCGAAAACCCGAACCGGGCGGAGCCAGTCCTCTTTCACCTAACCGGCACACCCCTCCCCCATCCCTCCCTCCAATTGCACACTCTCCCTGACCTCCCACTCACGCTGTATCGTCCCAGGTTGGGTTTCTGTTTTCCGGCCAGGATTTTGAGCGCGGTGGACTTTCCGATGCCGTTCGTTCCGACCAGTCCGAGCACCTCGCCGGGCCGCGGGATCGGCAGCCGGTGCAGCTTGAACGAGTTCTGCGAGTACCGGTGCGTCGTCTCCTTCTCCAGGTTACTCGGCAGGTTGATGATGTTGATGGCGTCGAACGGACATTTCTGTCGGCGGAAAAGGTGATCTCAGATCGAGATGTAACAACAGGTGTCTCACGTCGGTAAATTTTGATCTTGATAATATTACCTTTTCGTTTTACCGCTGGTTAAAATTGGACACAATCCACATGAAATAATATCGAGCCCTCTACCAACCCACGGCAATACAAGAAATTCACCTCATAGTTCATCTATAGGCGCAATCTCTGGGCATGAATTCTAGTCCCGTCACCGGAAGCAGCGATTCGATCCGACCGGCCGACATCGCTCGATCAGCGTTCCGCCGACCACCTCACCTTGATGCAAATACCGCAGCCGATGCACAGCTCCTCGGAGATGGTGGCGATCTTGTCGTTGGGCGTCACCTCGATACACAGCTTGCCCATGCGCACCACGGGGCACGAGCGCTTACACTCCTGGCGACATCGCTTGGGCTTGCAGCGGTCGCTGTTGACCACGGCGATACGGGTGAGCTTGCTGCCCTCCTCCTCTCCGCGCCGCTTCGACATGGCTGCCCGATGTCACACCTGGCGGAGAGACGGGTCATATTTTCGCATACAGATCACATAGATGTCAGAGATTTATCAGCATAGACTCAAAGCAGGGCCAGGTGATATACTCAGTGATAGACTCAGACTCAGGACTCAAGGTAAGAAGATATTCAGATTGGAGTTTGCTAATTGCTATACGGAACCAGCGGCCCTACGCAATCATATCAATGATTCTGTGCAACTGACCCTGGAGAAAGCAACTGCCAAAACTTTACTGTACCCAACAAACTCAGACAATATCCATTCTGTTAGGTATACTGACAGGCCTGTCAGACCATCACATTCAAACTGAAATACATTGATGAAAAAGATGCACTTTTGACATCACAAATTCTTTCTGGGATAATCTAACTTTTCATCTAAGTTGTACCTAGTAAGCCAAATTTTATTTGCCTACCTTTAGTTTCCTGCTTGCTGTGCAATAGTGCAGAGCAGTGAGCAAGCACTGACACGAGTGACGAGTGCGGGATGTAAAACGGAAAGTCAATGATGTAAAAATGGGTGAACTAGTCACTCCCATCGGCCGATGGGTGAATCGACTTCAATTATAATTAGTAGTCCTAGAAGCCTCAGTACAAGAATCAAGAAGAATCAAGAATCAAGGTTGTTTGGGCTCTGGAAGAAGACGTCGAGGTCTATGTTGTAGCCCATTTCTTTTTTGAATCACGCGTTTTTCTACATCAGTTTGATTTCTCTTGGGTCAGTCTTGTCTGTCTGCCCGATGTTTGTCGTATCTTGACTTAAATTGGTTAGATGTTTTTGCCATCTTGGTGTGAGAGCTTAACAAATTCCATTTATTTATAACTCTTTGTGAGAAAAATCTTCCTCTCTTCAACGTCCGGTGGTGGGGCTTGTACAGTTTGAGGTAATCTCGCTCTGTTCGGTTTCTAACGTTAAATAATTGGGTGAGGTCACACTCGTGGAGCTGATGGAGGATTTTGTGGGTCTCAAGTAAGTCTCCCCGTTCTCTTCTCTCTTCTAGGGTGGTAAGCTTAAGCTGTCTCAGCCGCTCTGGATAATTTAACCCTTGCAGTCCCACAACTCTTCTTGTAGCTGCTCTTTGAACTGTTTCAATCTTCTTGATATTATATTTCTTATATGGAGACCACACTTGGGGACAGAATTCAATGTGAGGGCGAACAAATGTTTTGTATGTGAGATTAAACATTGCCGGCCTCAGCTTTTCAAAGGTTCTCCTTACCATGCCCCAACTGGCATATGCTCGTTGGGTGCATTTGTTGATATGTTTGTTGAACTCGAGCGAGGAGTCAACAATAACACCCAGGTCTCTTTGTTCGTTGGTGTTCTCCAGCTTAGTACCACCGAGCATGTAGACTGGTCTGTCGGACATAATTTGTTTGGTGCCGATTCGAAGGGTCTGGCGCTTAGAAGCATTGCAGCATAGTTTCCATTGACGAGACCAGTGCTCAATCTCTTGGAGATCCCCTTGCAAGCGCTCCACATCTTCATGTGACTTGATGTGTCGGTAGATTTTACTGTCATCAGCAAAAATTTGCACCTGGCTAACTATTTGATCCGGCATGTCATTAATAAACAGAAGGAACAGGGTGGGACCGATCACTGAGCCCTGTGGGACGCCACTTGCCACCTTTGCCCAGCTTGAGTGGGATCCATTGACTACAACTCTCTGTTTCCTATCGTAGAGGAAGTCTTCAAGCCAGTTAAGCAGCTGACCGCCAATCCCTGATCGGTATAATTTATGACAAAGTCTTGCATGTGGTACGGTGTCAAAAGCTTTTGCAAAGTCTAGATAGACAATGTCTGTAGGTACCTTTTCATCAAGGCTGCGGCTGCAGTCTTCCAAAGTGGAGAGGAGGTTTGTTAAACACGACCTTCCGGAAACAAATCCGTGTTGGCGTGGGTTCAAAATGTTGTTCTGCAAAATATGACTCATTATTTGTTCATTGACGATTCTTTCCATCACTTTACTGCATATGCAGGTTAAACTAATTGGGCGGTAGTTTTGGGCTTCAGTTCTTGATCCCTTCTTATGGACTGCTGTGACGTATGCCATTTTCCATAGACGAGGGACATGTCCAGTGTCCATCGAGTTTTTGAATATGATCCTCAAAGGTACTGCTACATTTTCTGCGAGTTCAGCTAGGAGACGTGGGTGAAGATCATCTGGCCCTGGTGACTTGTAGGACTTAAGCTCTTTCAGTAGCTTGATGATATGTTGAAGAGGCATTTCAACTGAATGTAATTCGGGTACATCTGGATGCCAACAGTGGGTGAAAGGACACATTTGCTCGTCTGACAGTGAGGAGAAGAATTCGTTGGCGTAAATCAAGTCAGAGTCATCTTCTAACGTGAACACATTCTTGAAGTGTTGGTTTAGGGCAGCGGCAGTTTCTTCGTATGTTGATGATGGGGTTCCGTCTGCCTTGGTAACTTGCCCTACTGGCTCTCGAACTTTGTTTTTGGAGTTACAGTACGCATAAAACAGCTTGGGATTAGTTTTGATCTGATGAAAAAGTTTTTCTTCGTGCTTTGCTTTGATGTTACGTAGACCATAATGAGCCTTTTTTCTTGCCTTGATGTATTTCTTTCTATACCTTTCCAACTCTGGTAGCTTTAACCTCTCTGCCCTCATGTAGGCATTCCAAGCACGGTGTTTCTTTGCAATCTTCCTTTTTGCTTCATGGAATCAAACATGGAATCAAGCATGGAATCAAACAGCATATGGCAGCGAGAGAAAGTTCACAATCAAAGCGAAAAAGGGATCGAAATGGAACCATCCTGATATCAAACAGCACTAAAGATTCTGAAAAAAAACAGTCATAAGAAATACGGCAAGTGAAAATCACACAATACAAGACATATTATCGAAAAATACCTTGCGGTGTACAAGTTCGGGCGTAAAAGACCCCGGCAACAGAAATCGCACATGAGTGAGAATATCTCCTCTTTTTGTAAATAAAATAAAATAATATGACGTCAAAGTTAACAAAACTCGCCTATGATTCGTGCAAATAATCAACAATGACGTCATATTGTGTTAAAAATAAGGATAAAGTTCAACAAAACTGCGTCATATTTGTCGGCAGCGTTGTTTACTTTCTTTTGGCCTAAACTGATGCAAAAATAAGCTGATACCTAAAATATGATTTTTAACCATTCTCACTTGACCCTAAGGCTTTCAATAAATCGATACAATAGCCATATACTTATTGAAGGACACTTTTTCCTTAATTCAAACAAATCAAGCATGAAAACTTTCACTGAAGGATATCTGTAGTTTTGACAATGAAACCTGCGCTTCAAATACAAAACAACATTCCTCCTTCCGCCTTGCTCATCTGGATCTCAGAAATAATCATAATCTAAAATTTAGTATTTTCTGCTCATGCTGACTTATTCACTTAGTCATCGTGGTAAGCATTACTGTCATGCTTCAGTTAACATTTTACAATAAAGTCAAAGTTATTGTGGCTTTTTAGTTTCTCTGATGATGAAAGGCATTGGTCGTGTTATTTATACGTATTTGTATGGCATTTACTAGCTTTTACCGAGACTATATAAACCAGAGTGCATAAAACATCTGCCTGAACATCTGATATAACTTACTTACTTACTTACTTACTTACTTAGAAGTACAAAATTTTGATAGGCCACTTGGGTTTTACGTCCGTTCCAGTCAAGCTGCATAGTGTGGGTTTTACTGGTCTGTGTTGTGCAAGGTATCGCATGTACGAAGTCCGCCCAATGGCCAGTGGGTGTCTAGGGCTAGGCAGTCTGAGATAAACCACTATTATTGCATATGGTATTGCTTGCATACTGCATGAGCTTACAATGCTTCATGTTTCCCAGGTTAAAAACAAACCATGGATGATGAGTCTGACTGGGATAGTGAGCCAGACGTGTCCCCAGCACCTCCCAGAATGCAACCTTTAATGAAGAAGCCAAATGGTCAGTAGTATTTCAATAGTTGTTTGGACAGGCATGGTATTAGCCATTGGATACTTGCAGTATATGTATCTCTTACATATTTTTTCTGTTATGCCTTTTTGCAATTGCAAAGGAACATTCATACAAATGAAATATGGTAGCACCTCACTTCTCCATTCCAGGGAATGTTAGGCAACAGCATGAACAAGTTGATAGCAGAGAATCATCACAAGAGGACCTTGGGGATGGCAGGCGACCGAGGGACTCCCAGCGTACCTGCCGGAGGCAGGACCGAGAGCAGGCACCCAGGGGAGACGGCCGCGCTCCTGTTGTGTCACCCAGAGGTGGCGGACATCAGCCCAGGCCCAAGGAGAGACATGGGACAGACTCACAGGCAGAGGGCCGCAGGCATCCAGAGCAGAGGGGGCAGCACCAGAAGGCCGCCGAGCGGAGCAACGCTGAGGAACAGCCACCCTATAACTTTCGGTGAGTCTCTCAGACATAATGATACGATTCGCTATTTGTTGCATGATTGGTAATAAGAAAAACAGACCAGTTGAGCCGTAAAATCGGTTCGAACCGCTTCAACATCTCTCGTGGTAAAGGCTCCGGCTCGTGGTAAGATGTACCGGTTCCGGTGACTCGCAGCTCCGGGACTCACTAAGAGCGTTACTCTATCGGAGCGTTACTAGACACGGTGCGGGTAGATGACACCCCCCCCCCTGCCCGCAGCGCGGAGACGGAAGGCAGCCAGAGGTCGGCCGCTCGTCAGAAGCCGCGTCCGCCGGGCCGCCAGCAGCGAGCCGAGTACTCCGTGCCGCCGTCCCAGACCGACGGACCGACTCCGGACTCGGCCGGAACAGGTGGGCGCGCTGTCCGGGCGAATTTTGTGTCGTCTTGCCTCTGGTCGTACGTATCTTGTCTTTGTCCATGTCTCTGTTCATGTCTCTGTTCGCACAATATCTTAACTTATGCGGTGACTTCTCTGTGTCCTCCCGTGCGTCATATTACGCGCACTCTGACCTGACGTCTGTCCGCCTCCCATCCGGTCCTTTCCGATCCGTACCTACCAGCTGCAGCGGCGGCTGCGGAGCTGTGTCCCAGTCCCCGTCCGCGCTCGGCCCAGCCGCTCCGCCTGCTGCACACAGACGAGACCACGGCTCTAAGGGCCGCCGCCAGCTACGGTTAGATTTAAACTTATCAAATGCAGATGTGTGATGCCTGGAATTCGTCCAACTTTGGACGAAATGTATTGTCTCATCTCGGCTTTGTTTCTCATAATGCATTTTATCGTAACTCGTATGACTATTGCTCAGGCTCGCCTTTCTTACTTTCCTTGAAATTTACTTTTACTTGCCCTTGCTGATCTTATTCGTTTATCTTATCCGAAAATGCTGCCATTTCAGATAGTTTCTGGCTAGATCGGGTGGTTCGCGACGCCGATCCGTTCTTCGGCCGACCGATCCCTCCAATCCAGTCTAACCGGTCTCCGATCCAGTCTATCCAGCCTCAGATCCCGCTGACTCGGCCCATCCAGCCTCCGACACCGCCAATCCATGGATCTGACAGTGGGTAACCGGCACTTCTCCTGAAACACGCCGTCAAATTATGTATTAACTGCTTTACCTTTTCACCATAGGACGCTATTTTTACTCGCTATTGATCATTTCTGCTTTGCTATAATGTTAATTCCTCTGCTTTTGAAATAGCTTATGAACGAGTATGTCATTCCCTCCTCAGCTGATATCGCTCTGAAGCCTATCGGCTCTCCGGGCGTGGTCCGACAAAACTCAGCGGCTCTGGACCGCGGAGAGAAGCCGGTCCCGCTGGACGGACCGCTGGTCCCGCGTTCCTCGGGCCCGGACTCTCCCCTGGTGGAGGGGGAGGGGGACGGGACGGCCGCAATGGCCGTGGCGGTCTCCAGCTGCCAGTTCTCACAGCCCGAGATCAGGTCAGCATGTCGATAGGGACGATTAATGCTGCGGTTGAGGGTCAGTTGGATGTGCTCTTTTCCTGTATCGGTAATGCTGATCGCCCTCAAATTTACTGGGAATTTGCGGACCCCGACTGGTGATCATTTGCTGAGATTGAAATTCTCATTTTTGAACGTTTGCTGTTGCATTTTCAATATCGAGCGATCTCAGGCGACCCATAGCTCATTTCCAAACATGTATATTCAGTCCACCTAACATATAAGTCTGCTGGCCTGCCATCAACCCAGCCCTGTGACCGGTACCGTTACCTCACCCCGGCAGTGTGCTGCGCTCGGGGGACCGTAACCCGTCCGCGCTGCAGAGCCGCTACGGCCGTCTGTCGCACCGCAGCCTGATGAGGATGTGGTCAGAGGTGCTCTGGGTCGCCTCCGTGCCCGTGCTGGTCGTCACCACGTTCTTCTTCGCACTCACCAGGTGAGACGGGTCTGGGTGAGAATGTATTCTCACTTTTTGGAGTGATACCTTTCGACATTGAGCCGTGTGATATTGAGTCAGTAATTGTTTTGTTATTTACGTTCAACTTGTTAATATTAGCTAGAATTTTAAGAACGCTGCTTACTCGATGGCGCTATAAATGGCGTAGGAACACTGACAGTGCTCTCTGACCACTCTCTCGGCTCTGACGGTACCCTCTGGCCCTGCCCTGTCTCAGGTGTGTGCTGGAGACGGTGGTCCGCCCTGTGGCACTGGGGCCACTTCAGCTGCTCGGCGACCACCTGCTGAAGCCGGCCGCCGTCACGCTGCACGACTCCCTGCTGTTGCCGGCCGCCGCGCTGCTGGCCAACGCGCTGGCCGCGCTGGCGCTGCTCGGCCGGCCGCTGGGCGAGGCGCTGGACGCCCTGCTGCGGCCGCTGGCCACGCTGTTGGCCAGCTGTCGGCTAGTGCAGGTCACCTACGGCCAGCCGGCGCCGCCGGGACACCGGCTGCAGGCGGTCTGAGAGACGAGGCAGGTGGGCCCCGCGCCGGGGGAAGGTGACGCCTGGGGCGGGGCTGAAGAGGGAGACACGCCGAGTAGGCTGCACTACATGGTGGGGAAGGTGTTATACGGAAAATTGTGACTCCCATGCTATTCGGATGCGTATTTGTCAATATCGTTGGACAAAAACAACGTTTTAGGCTCGCGTCACAAGGCTGAGAGCTCAGTCAACTCTGCGATATTTGGCCACCTACCATCTGAATTGAAAGTCACGGTTCTAGCAATGTCGATAGGTGTCGCTGCCCTCGCTTTCTGCCGTAACCCCGGCACACCTCCGTGATGCGTCGTTTGTATCGGATAATCGGTAATTCTCCGCCGGCTCGCCCCACTCCCAAAACATTGACCGACTGTCTCTCCCTCCACCGACCTTGTGACGCAAATCCGGCCATGTTTTGCAACCGCTCCTCGCCACGCGCATAGCAATGTGCGTAAATCGGGCCCGTGGCGGGGTCTCACGCAGCGTTCGGAGCGTCTCGAGGTCGGGAGTGGACTCGGTCAGTCGGGTCACGGTTAATGAAGTTCGATACGAGCCCCGTCGGTCACGATTCGGCTTAGACTGGTCCTCGAGCCGGCTGACTATTGCGGAAGATCTTGGCTGAGGCGTTTAATGGTCGGAATGATTCACTCTGTGGCCTCCCGGTAGATGAGGACGGGAATTAATACCGTCCGCCGATGACTCTCAGGTCGCCGGATGGTATATTTGATGTCTGGATAACGGTATCAATCTATTGTTGGAACTCGGAAGACAGCCGGCCTTGGGTCCTCAGATGGCCCATGTTTGCTAAGTGTAAGTGACTGACGTGACCAACTCACGCTCGCCCTGAATAAGGCGCCCCATGCGCCGTTCACTGATCCATTATGCATTCGCGTTGGCCAAAACGTGCTCTCGCCCTCTCGCCCCTGCCTTCCGCGAGGGGAGGGCTCACGGCGTGGGCTGTTATGGGCTCGACACTTCCCAAAGGTGGTGCGTTTCGGGGTACGCTATGGGTACTCCGGGAGCCTACATATTTTATTTCACGGTTGCTGTGAAGGTGACCCCCTGATATAGTACATTTATGTTGGGTGTTGTCCACTGAAACACTCACTTCTGGCTGTTAAGGTAGGGGCGATTCCAGCGATGTTGTTCAGCCAATCCGTTAGCGAGCTTTGAGCCAACCTTGCTGGATCTCATTCCAGTCACATATGCATGTGCTTTCAAAGAAAGACCGATTAGGGTTTGTTGAATGTGCTGCCATGAGCTAAGATATCGATGCACTCTAGTCATGATGAGCTTTCAAGTAATGATTTCATGCTCGTATATTCCGAGTAAGCTGACCAAGCAGGTTATGGAAGTGTGAGCGACCCCGGATGGACCAGAACTGCGAAGGATGTCCAGCCAACCTTGATCTTTCATGCCGCATGTCATGGTGTGTGCAGACAGGACCCAAACTGGCTTTGTGTTGTTCTCATGATGTGATGTCCGTAGGCTTGTACTGGCGGATTGATAAATGTTGTTGACGATTTCGGTATTCCGTAGAATTCATTGTTTTCTTGTATTAATTCATAGCGCATTGGGTGAGTTATTGGTCTTGTTTTATCGTAGGTAGGTACGATAAACACCTACGATTTTATTTTATTTTATGTTATTGCCATTTGATTTTCCAGTGTGATTTGATTTTCTCGATTAGTTCGGCAGATATAAGAGTGGGTCAGTTCCTCAGCATCGTATTCCTAGCGGAAATCCACGGAACGACCAGGAAATCAAATGTATTGTTCCGGGTTGTAACAACACTGTGCCTTTGTCACGGGTTTCCAACTGTTCGTGAATCTCAAAACTGATGCATATTTTTACAGAGCGTTACTCAAATGCTATGCTGAGTACCTCTCGTGCCGTAAAAAAATGTGATAGGAAAATATTGGACCACTCGCCTAGCGCACAACGGTTGCTGTGTTAACCCGCGCCCTGCTGGGGGTCCTGGATTTCCACGCCCTGCTGGGGGGGGGGGGGGGTGTTTGAACACCCCCCCTTCTAACTCGGCTCCTGGGCCACGTAGCGATACGCGGAAGGCGGCGTTCGAAAGAGCGTCAAAAATAATGAGGAAATCACTTCGGTCAAATTTTTGGTCAGGTCAAAGGTCAGGTCACCAGAGGTCATTGAAGGCAAAATTTCGCCGATTTCCAGGTCGAATGTCGACAATTTCCAAGAAGCCAACGCATAACTCGGGAACCAATAGAGATACAGCGCCGCGGAAAAGCGCATTCGATAGCCCTATTAACGCCCTTTCTGAGTAATTCTCTCAGATTTGACCTAACGTCAACGGTTTTGCCTGCAGGGGGCAAAAACTGCAAAAATAGCCGATTTTTTCGGAAACAGTTTTTCTGCAATAACTTTTGACCCAAGCCTTGTACGAGCTTACTTTTACCGGCATCGTGTTCCTCTCGTCAAGACGCATCGAATGAACTATAACTTGACCTTGAAAGGTCAACTTGAAAATTTGACCTCAGGTCAAGGTCATGACCTGACCGGAAAGGGTCATGTTGCATATCAGTCGATCCGTATCGTCGAGCTGAACACATCTAAGGCGTTTTCATCGCTCTAGCATGCCTCTATCAAAAGTTATTTGCGAAAAACTGTTAGATACCATTCGTGACCTAAGATGACCTCAGGGCATAAACAGGGGTCACGGACACCATTTTCATGTTCAGTGTGTCTAAACCACTTGTAATTCAGTGTTTGGGAGTGTTTATAATGTCTTTCGTCCAAAGGAGGCGCATTTCAATTTTCTCCCATTGACTTATAATGGGGAGGTCGCAAAATTGACCTGACCTTAGGTCACCGATATCAAAATTCTGAGATATACATTTTATACATGCTATTGCTCTTAGCAATGGCTGAAAGTTTCAAAGCGATCGGTCACTCGGTGTAGCTATGACAGACATTGAAACTTTTTATGAGGTGAGGTCACTTCAAGTGACCTGGTGACCTGACCTTGAATGACCTTGGTCTGAAATTTTCACAACATGTGTAGAATTGATGTATGATAAGGTGTACCAAAAACGGCGGCGCTCCGCGCCGCCGTTTTTGAGATATTCGCGAAAAACCACAAGGGGGGGGGGGTGTTCAAACACCCCCCCCCAGCAGGGCGCGGGTTAAATGTGCCGTCTTTCCCTGCGCCCCAGGAATATCTCGCGAGTCATGTTACCAAAATATGCATTACGTGTAGCTTTGCGGTGTTGTAACTTGTCACCTATTTGGGCATTCCGCCTTGATTCCGCCTTGATTCCGCCCAAGATTCCGCCGCCTTCGCTATCGGTACAACGGGCATACTGGTGGAATTGATGACCATTATGGGCCTATAGGGTGTGTCCAGTGTTATCAACATTCTGCACCATATGCTCACCGTGTGCTGACTGTGCTTGCAATGCTGTTACCGTGTTTCACCGTGTTTTCACAATGTTCTCACCGTGTTCTTACCGTCTGATCTGGCATGTACTGCAGCGAGTGTCCAACCAGCGCTGTCCTGCTGTCCTGTCCGCACAAGTCCGTGATTGACTGATACATGACGGCCTCTCCTTCGCTGGCACTAGGGTGGGTGCGGACTGCGGAGCTAAAGGAGAGGTCCCGTGCCGTTATGTCTGTGACTGTGGCCCTCTGTCGCTGCCGCAGTGTGGGTGGTTCCGGTGATCTCTGCCGGTCCCCCGCCTTCGTGTCGTGTGACCGCACCTCGCTGTTACACAGAGATCGTGTTCTCACGGCAGTCTGATGTGTGATCTCACTCAGACGGAAAATACACGAGATCTGAAAAACTGTGTCAGTGTCTGGTCAGCATTGGGAAATCGATGGTGTTCTTTTGCTGAGCTCAATTTCACTATTTGAGCAATGCCTTGTGGATTAGGGATAATATTTATTCGGCCATATGTGCAGGGAGGGTCATGTTGCTTTTAGGACACTAGTGTCTGAACCTGTCATTTTTATCGTCGTTTGATTCGCTGGCATTATTCTGCAGCTTCCTTTCATTCGGATCGAGCCATTAAAGTCAAGCTGTTGATGGGATTTTAATTGGAAATGCCACCGACGCAATGAAAGATAAGTAAAAGACAATCATGCTGGTGGCATCGGACATTATCCAAAGCCATGAAGGTCAGATGGAATCCGGTATGCATGACCAACCAATAATCGGCCGTCGGTGGCCAATCTTGGGGGGTAAAGTCGGGGCGCTTATAGGGGACGAGCAGGCTGATTATGAACTTGACGAGGTCTGTTGGCTTCATTAAACAGGCTTATCCTAGACATTTAACTTTTTTATTGATGTTTCTGATTATGGGAAGATTATTTTCATCTTATTTGTGCACGCTAATCGCCATAATTATGCTTCTGTCCTTTGCTGTTCGTTATCCAAGTCGTTGCGCTGTTTGTAATTTTTCGAATGCATGTTATGCAAAATAAAAATATCTTCGTAAATACATGACCGACTTCGCTTGCCGACCACTCGGAGGTCTAATTCTACCTGTTGCCGTCTAACAAGGCTCCAACTGTGTCGGTACCGCTCGTGGTTTCCTTCCTCCTCTCCTGCGGCGCTGCCCACCCGTCTCGGGGTTCGACGGTCAGCCATGTCCGCAGATGTCGAGAGATGACGATACTGAATCTCTGCAGAGATTACCGATGAGCTAAGGCTCCCGCATGAAGTCAGCTTTGCTCATCAAATTCCAGTTGTCCTCTTCCTTCTGTCATTCGTCCTTTTGTTCTGACTGCACCTATAGACAGGTCGTATAAGCGATGATATAAGCCAGCTGCACTAGCATCACGTGGCTCAACTGGTGGGTTGGGGAGCTTGCTTTTTCACTATTTGAAAATATTCGGATATTCACCGAAGCTAGTATTTGCCAGTTGCTGTAGAAAAAAGAAACTTAATGACGTTTATTGAGTGTGCTTATCGTTGCTTATGCGCTTGAGACGTCCAAGGTTATTCACTCTGCTAACTGCTTATGTCGTTTTTCTTTATGTCGTTGTTGTTTTTCTTTATTGTTGTTTGTTTTCCTATAAGACTTTATGTGTCATCAATATGCGTCGCACACTTCCGACCACACTGACCCCATACGACCCCGGTGACCTTTCCCCTGTCGCCGCACCCGTAGCCCGTCTCCCCTGCTGACCGGTCAGGCTCGCCCGCCGCGCTGCGCCGCGCCGAGCCCGCTAATTGTAACGTAATGACCCGCACACGCACCGCGGTGCGCCCGCCGGAAACTTTCTCTTTCGCAGAGCGCCCCGGGCGGCTGACCTTGTGACCCGCGCCGGGTGTCGCACGTTTCCGGGAAGACAGCGTACGCACGGGACGGGAGGGAGGGAGGGGAAGGGCATTGTTTCGTCGCTAATGCTAGCGCCTGTGACAGCCAATCGCGGATTTTTCGTAGATCATTCTGCGCGGTTTGGACGAATGTGCCTTGCATAACGATCTGCAGTTGTTCAGCATTGTGATGTGTGGACTATCTCCAATCATTACGGCTAATCGACGAAGGAATTTGACCAGATAACGGTCACAGGTGTGAGGCCTGCCAGTGTCATTGCTAGTGGTGGGAGTGCAGAAATGGGCCGGGACTGCGGACCGTTGACCCGTGCCTGTAACGGTTCCCATGAATCGTGTCACACGTGTTTATTATAAATGCCAACTGGCAGTTTCGGGTGCCGCTGTCGGGTACAAATGGGAGCTGTTGGAGTTGAACGCCACTCTGGCTGGAGGAACTCACTTAAATTTCACCGGGCCCGGAAGCCGAGCGGTTATGACACGTCCTGATCGACGGAGGCCGGGGGTTAATGGTGGAGGGCGCCGGAGGCTAACTCAGACTTCGTGACAGTTTCCTATTGTTTTCATTCCTTTAATCTCTCGGGAATATCGGAGGTTAATTTCTGTGAGACACTGAGAGCGGAAAGTTGGGAGAAAGGTCTTGCAATCATTGGTCAGACAGTTATGCAGATACGATCGGGGGTCGAAGTCGTGCGGCTTCGTATCGCCAAACAGTGGCAAGAGGGAAACTTTATTTCGTGGCGTGACTGCGCCCATTGGCTACCGTGTGCAGGGTTCAGTTGCAGTCCGATGGCGTCATTCTGTTGTTTCCGGCAGCGAGACGTTTGATATTCCTGCAGTGCACGTGCATTCCGGCCACTGGCGTCTCTATAAGTATGGTCCGATCCGACTTGTCACCAAATCCCGCAGGATGGTCTCCCGCCAGTAGGGAAATAACGTGAGAGGTCACAGGTCATTGCGTCGAGTTTCTGTCCAGTAGCACACATTACTGAGTGATGTGTGTCTGTCTTGTTTCTACATGTGTGTTTTGTGTACTTTTTATATCCCTGGACAGGAATTCGAACACTAGGAAGGCATCACCAAGCGGTCTCTCCCGATAATCCGCCTGTCTTCCTCCTTCCGCCGCCCCTCCCCCTCCCCCACCTCTAATCCTCAGTCACCCCCCCCCCCCCCCGATGTGTCCGATCTGAGCCCAGTTCGGTCCCACGGTGACGCTCCCAGCCACTGCCGCCCGCCAGGGCCACCGGTGGCACCGGGCGGTGTGGGCCCGGTCGGCGAGCGATGATCAGAGAGCCCCCGAGACGCTCCGTAACGACCCGGTCGGCACGACCGTGTTCGGCGTGACGGAGTGTCACGAACGAGCTGCTGTGACGGGGTGTCACGAACCTGGGATGAGGTGGGTTTGGGATGTGGTGGGAACTAAGTGAGGTCGGGATGTGGTGTCAGTTGTCCCCGGAAGTTTTCCCAGTCAGGGAGGTGCACGGAAGGCGTTTCGTTCGTTTGTGCGAAAGCCGGTGTCATGTGACTCGATGAATTACACCGGTACTTACTTGGTAATCAGTGCGAAGGGGAAGGGTTGCGTAGTTATGCGTTGTCTGTTGTTTGTGTTCCTAATATTATGTTTCACATAAATAATTATTTATTTCAAAATGCAGAAAAGTCTGCACATGAACACAGTTCAAAAACAGTACATCTACACGCGTCTCATAAGCACGGCAGTTATTCTCACACATCCGGCAATCTGGCAGTTCGCCTTTGGTTAGCTATCTACCTCTCTTTCGCTGCCTGAGCTACCGAGCTGGCTCGCATTCTATGCTCACTCTGACTACTTGAATTATCCGTCAGCGATAAAGATAAAATCCTTATCACGACCAAGACCACGAAGCTATTAAGATGTTACGTGACAGTAACTTACGTGCACCTATCGTGGTGCATCTTTGCAATAACTATTGTTACATAGCGAAGAAGTGAAAGGCATCTGCAAGATGCACATCGCAGTCATTGATTGCAAAGTTGACAGTTGAAACACTCGTCCGATTAGACGCAAATGTTGCATCGCAAAACCCGCGATGAAGACATGCACTGACAAACTTCCTTAGATTCTTGTCAAAGCTTTCCAAGGTTGACCTTCAACATTCAATAAATCGTTGACCGTCTACCTGGCCGCGTCTGTTAGGTCAACACTAACACCTAGCACACGCTCCCGGCAGTAACCTGTCAGCCGCAGCGCTGTTCGCCGCCACTCCGTCGGACCTTGGCCGCCCACGGGGGCCGCTATCTCAGACACACCCTATCTCCCCGTGCAGGTATCACTGTTCGTCTGCAGTCCCTTCCGCCGCCCGGTCCGCCCCGGCGGTGTGTGGGCGGGGGCGGCGGTCACGGTCCCGCCGCCTTATATGGGCGCCGGCGGTCCGGGCGGCACGCGCCTCCCTCAGCGGAGGCGTCGCGGCCCTGCGCCGGACGGAGACACACGGCGCGGTCCTGTCCCGTCCCTGCTGACGGGACAGGGTCGCGCCGGCCCGCCCGCAGGACGGCTGTTTTCCAGCAGCCACTGGTGACACATCACTGGATAAAAAAAGTCACCGGGCGAGCGGTCAGCTGGCCGGCCAAGGTCGCGGCTCGTCACCGGTCCTTGTGACGTCATTCACTGATAAAAATTTTGACACCCCACCTCTACGACGACTCCATGTTTTAGAGTCTGAGTGCTTAGATTTTGGTGTCCGACTCCAAAATGTATGGTCATTGACCCCATCGTTTGGCGTCGGTTTCCGACGAACCCAAAAAATGGTGTCCTCCTGAGAGGGTCATGACACCCTTAAATCGGATCAGTGAGCTCTGCGAGGGTGTCCGACACCAAAACGGCAATAGTTGACGCCTTTGTTGGGGAGTTGGCTATCTTTAAAAGGGAGTCGTGCATCTGAGCAAGGGAGTAAGACACCCCTTTATGAGAGTCAAGTTAAAATGAGGTGTCTTGACTCTACGTTATTGCACTCACTTAACATGGAGTCGAGACTCCTTTTACACATTTGACTCCCATAAAAGGTGCTTTACTCTCTTGCCAAAATATATGACTCCTCATCAAAGAAGGATGACTCTCTTTTGAACGTAGGTGACTACCTTTGGAGAATAAGTGATTCCCTTTTGAAACTGTGTGACTCTCGTTTGAAAATGAGTGACTCCCTTTTTAACATGTGCGACTCGCCCTAAAAATGTGCAACTCCCTTTTCGAGAGGTACAACTCCTTTTTGGAAATGTGCGAATCCCTTTTGAGTTAGGTACGATTTTCTTTTAAGATATGTACGACACCATATATATAGTTTACATATAGGTATGACTCGCTTTTGAAGGTGTACGACTCCCTGTTGAATGATCCCTCATGATCTACCACTCCCTTTTGAAAATTTCGATTGATGTACGGCTTTCTTTTAAAGAACTACGACTAAATACCTCGCTGAAGATATGTCTCTCTAACAAAAGTGTGACGTTTCATTACGGGAACGTTAAACTCTAACAGAAAAAGTATACTCCCTATTTAAGGTTTCAGACTCCTCTACGACTCCTTTAAACGGATGTTATATAGGTGGCGCTGCTATCGTGCTGTTACTGAAAGTTTTACTTTTTCTCATAGATGTCGCTGATTGTGACAGTCTTTTTTTGCGTCGAACTTTCCGCGTTTTGTCTGTAGGTTTGACGTTCCTTGTCTTTCTTTCATCATTTTCATCAGTTTGGCAGTTTGAGATTTAGGACTGGCCCATCACAACTTCTGTATGATGTAAGATGATTGTGTGGTAATGCTTTGACGGCTAAAACTCGGTGAAAAGATTCATGTTGCATATAATAAAGCTTAATACTTGCATGTGCGTGGTTATACTGATTAGACTCCAATCTTGGAGTCAAATCAAAGTTTGCAGACCGGATGTGGACATTGAAGTCATATCTAGAGATCTTCCGAGAACAATACCTTGGAATTTCTCAGGATATGATGGAAATGGAAGACATCTAACATGTCACGGTGACAACAGTGAATGGCGGTACCGTGGTTTGCTGTTTCGCTAAAGAATGGTGAAACACCAAATAAGACGATTCTGCTGAAGCGCGTCGCGCGTTGGGATATTTGACACCTTTAGGAAGATAACACTCCAGAAAAGTGTCATTTGCACCTCTGTAGGGGGTAATTCAAGAGAGCTATGACTCCATTTAAGGTGATATGCCAAAAAGTCCGCCCCATAGGAGTGTCAAAATACCCTCTTTTGGGGCATCATTACCCCAAAAGAAAGAGTCCTAAGGGGAGTCGTGACTCTATTTATGGTGACATGCCAAAAAGTCCGCCCCACAAGGGTGTCAAAAAACTCTCTTTTGGGGCATCCAAACTCCGAAATCAAGAGTCCAAGTACGCCAATAAACGGCGTTCACGGATACCATATTACGGTGTTATGATGCCCCAAAAGAGAGTTTATTTGACACCCCCGTGGGGCGGACTTTTTGGCAGAGTCACCCTACCCCCCATTTGGTGTCATTTTTTCTTTCAGTGTTGGTCCACCGTGACGTCACTCAATAATGTACGCCTGCAGCGGGTGAGGCCGCGGCGGCTCCTGATCTGGGCTGCTCCTCCTACCTTCCCTCAGCAGTCGCTCCTCCAGCGCGAAGAAGCAGCACTTTGGCGAACAGAACATGGCCTGAGCCGCACACCGGCACTCGAGGCAGTTGTCCGACGCCACTCCTGTGAACAGAGGGGAGCGGACGTCAGCTATGAGGTGATACGATGGGTTATCTATTCTGTTAGTGACGTTATGCGTGAGACACTCCTCCGGCAAACTGTGGTGGGTATCGCACCTCCAAGGGTGCAGTAGGCGCCTCTGTGAGGTCACCCAGGCGTGGGTCAGTCAGTCGTGGCCGATACACTCCCATCGATGGGGTCAGCTCAGTCAGGAGTGGTGCCATTTACATGAGAAATGGTGCGGATACTGGACGAATAGCACGATCTCAGAGCACGAAACTCCGAACGGATGACCGATCCTCGGCACCGATGTGTCCTTGGCGCACTTACTGGCGTGCAGTTTTGTCATGCATATGAATGCATCGGTTCCAGCATGATTTGTGATGTGGGCTTTCAGGTCAATACCATAACATGGCTATTTTATGTGCTCGGTTCGAAGGACAGAGCCGTGTTCTAATGATTGTTAGTATTCAAGTCTATCCAATTCACCAATGAACCCAGGCAGAGCAAGCTAAGTTAAATGGACCTTATACTACCAAGCGTGTTCTGAGCTGGTTCTGAGCGTTAACATCATGCAAATATCCCAAACCATATGAACTCTGCATTAGGGAAGGCTGAAACAGAAAGAAATTCCTTGACTTTCACTTCTCTGCAATCACGTCCATTTAAGATTTTCACCAGCTGCTCCAGTTTTTAAAACGTTAAGCGTCAAAGGAACGCACGCTATTGCACACGACGTCAACATCTTATAACATTACAACACTGACAAAAACACACATTCCGTGACCGGAGAAACGCCTCATCCTCCTAGTTAAGCTGCTCGCGGGCACGGCACAGCAGTGCGTGAGGGGCGGATCGGGGCTGGAACACGGATGAGCCGGGCCCCAGGAACGGAAGCCGTTCTCTCTGTGCGGCCGGTTTTAATTCAGCCGGTCGTGACTGAGATATAAGTCAGAGCGCTGCCGCCTGGAGATGGTGCTTATAACTGAGAACGGCTCGTATTAAGGGGGATTATCTTTCGGAACGGTTCACTCAGCTCAGCGAATACCTTTGTTGGTGCTGAATGGGCGAGGAGGATCACACATCTGCCCGTATGGCTGTTGTAGTGCTACTTACAACCATGACCATTGAACCGCTAAGCGCAGACATAACATCAAGCGTGTCTCGGGCCGCTGCTTCTCGCAGTTATTAAATATCTGCAAGGTCTGTTAATTAATTTGGTTTATTCTTTGGTGCCGTGTGTGATTGCCGCTTAGTGCCGATGGAATGACAGTGTTTGCTTGTTAACGTCAATCCCGACAGTCCTGTTTGATGTCGAGGCATCATATCAACAGTTCCGGTTTTACGTTACAAGTGCATCGGTACTGGACTGCAGCACTGTTTTGTCATTCCAGAAACCGGTTGTTTGTTCCTGCACTGTGATGAATCTGACTTTGAGACGCGACCAAAGTCACTTCTTTGTCTCCAGGGGTTTCTGTCCGCTCAGTGATTTCATCTCTGGTTAGGCCGTCAACGCCCTATCGTTTTCGTCGTTTTGGGAGGAGATTACCACTTGCATAACGTCATGGTATAGTGTCATCCTGCCGATTAATCCCATCCTCATAGCAACTGCGTTGATTGAATAAATGCGAGGCAAATGACCGTCCGTCCATGTTTACATGTTTATTTTATTGATTTACGTATGACCGAAGTACCCAACATAAAGTGAAAGATATACTCATATGAGTTGTCCTCCTCCACTCCTTTATCACTTTTCATATTGACACGGCTCTAAAATGGCCATTAATCACACAGTTATCCTCTAGTGAAAAGCGGAACTCGGACCTTGCGGAGCGAACATCCCGTCTTCTTTTCTTACACCTAGGTACTTATACTGATTGATACTATTCATTGAGGAGGACATAAAAGTGTCATTCGTTTATCTCACTGTGCAGAAAGAAAAGGCATCATGTGCCACCCAGACACCCAGATCATGGTGAAGCGTGATGGTTTCTGGGAAAATCTCGTTAGTAAGCCTCGCGATAAAGCGCTTTGTGGAATCCGGCGTCCTGCTACGTGAGCAAAAAGCCGACGTTTTTAGATCTTACTTCCAACTGTACCGTTGCCCTGCACGCTTGTAGGCCATCTCAAATGAATAAAGCTTTAGGTTGGATTTGAGATGGACGTTTAATCTATCACACTACAAATCTTTTAATCGTGATGAGGCTGGATGTAGACGGTGCCCTCTGTCATGCTGACGAGTCTCCCCTATATGCCGTTCTCAGACTCGACTGCCCTCTCGTCCTCCAGCCACTTCCCCGAGGTGTGGATTCTGTTTACTCGCGTCCACCCGGCAGCTCCGCCCTCCCTCTCCGTCTCCCTCTGCCCCTCTTCCTTCTCCTCCTCCCCGTATCCCTCTGTTCTCGCCCTCTCTGGCCGGCTCGTGTGGGCAGAATCACCAGCTGATCGGCGGTACTCGCAGGGCGGGGCGATAGCGGGGTCGCCCACGCGCTCTGTCCAGGGACGGTGCGCAAAATACGTTACACGGAGCGCTGCCCGCCACCGCCCGCCGCCGCTAGATGTAAGTACCGTGTGTGTATTGCGGAACTCACAGACGTATGCAAAGCAGCTGGGCCGCTCCGTGCCGGCCAGCGGTCAGTAACGACCCGGCGCGGCGGCCGGAGAGTGGATTCGTGCTGGTCGGGCCCGAGATACTGCCAGACGCGTCCAGCCGACTGCGAGGCGCTGCAACCGTGCGGTGCTGGCCGGTCATGACCCTCCGAACGAGCTCCAAATGACCGATGGGGCAATAAGGCACACCATCGGCTGTGGGCGGACGGAGCAGCCGGGCTCAGTCGAGCTGAACGCCCACACCTCAGGGGCGCCCACCGGCAGAGAAGGACGATCAACCGAGCCCCGCGGCGCAGCCAGCCTGTTCTCAGAGGCCAGAGTTCGTTCCTCTGAGGGGTCTCAACTGGGAGGAGTGCAACGTAGGCCGTATTTGGTGCTGCGTCGTTTGTTGTTTGAGACGCCGGGGGACGGGGTTCATCTCGGACCGGTTGCTGATCTGTCGGTCCATCTGTGGAGGACGGAGCCACCGACCGCTGCCGAGGTCGCCGAGTGACCGCACGCGGACGGATGTGGCGCCCAGCGAGCCGTGCATGCCGCCGGCGACAGACAGACGCGCCCGTCGGCCCGGAGACACCCGGACGAGACGCCACACCCGGGAGCCGCCCAGAGCCGCCCAGCCGCCCAGACTCCGCCAGCGCCGGCCGGCCGGTACTTCTTATATCAAGCAGCCCATCCCATCTGTTAGAACGTGCCGCCGCTCCTGTCCTGACAGCCGCCGAAATAGCCAGCATTCCGCGCTCTAATTGACGCCGGACACGTTTTTGTCACCGTGTGGGCAGAGCTCGCGGTCGGTTTTTGTCTCGGGTGGAGTGGCTGTGACCGTGGGGGTCAGCCGGTGACCGGGGCAGGTCGCCGGGTCACCAGATGGTCGCTCGGACGGCTGTTGGGACGGTCACTTGGTAGGCCGGTCAGTGAGTCTGTCACCGCTGGTCGGCACAACCTGTCCGGCGCCGGCAGAGTTGCGCAGTCGCGCAGATGTGACGGTCGCCCACTCTCTTCCCCTCTCGGCCCTGGCCCAGCTTCCTCTCTATCCTGCCTGCATACTCACTGTGGACACCCAGCTGCACCACTGAGCACACAGGCCTTCACACAGAGCTACACCGAGCAGTGTGCAGTGTGGACAATACCCATCGGGTGACAGATATGGACAGAGAAAGACCGCCGTCGCCTCTCATTTCCGCTGTTCCTGGTCTGGGAACTCCAGGTCCTGCCGTCTCGCTCCAGGGGATGTGAGTGCAGTCACGGTGGACAATGAACGCATTTATAGTACTCCGCGTCCCCGAGGCGGCTCGGCGCTCCCCGCGCGGTCAGGGGCGGGGTGGGGTGTGCCGTGGCCGGCCGCCGTGCTGGACAGAGCGGTTTCGACACGCGTCGGCTCGGTGTAAGGGTGAGTGCCGAGTGGGCGGTGGGCTGACCTCTGTTGGACTGAGAGGGACGGCGGGGCGCGGTCGGTAGGGATCAGGGCGGGACTGGCCACCGATTACTGGCGGATTACTGAGGGTCATACATCAGCGATTGATTATAATCCCTTGGACGACTCGCATGACAGATGCCTGGTGAAGGTGACTTGTATTGGGACTTGGGAACTGCAAAGGGTCGAACAGTGACTCGGTCACAATCAGTCGGGGGAGGTTTGGTCAATCGTTGTCATTTTTAGCACGTGCTATTTTTTTCACACGTGCTAAAAATGACAACGATTCTGCTATTTTTGACAACGATGAGGCCGATTTCACTCCTCAGCGAGGAAATGAAGATTTTGGAAAGATAAACACTGATTTTGGAAAAGAAGTGCTGCCACCTGGTGCAAGACGAAGAATCCAGCTTTAATATGCCTGTTATTTGTATGGTAGTTTGTTTTGTGGCCTGAAGTTGGAACTTAAAATTGAAGCATCCGAAAATGATCGATATTGATCGAAAACATGATGTTGATGAAAAAAATAATATTTTAAGTTGAGAGAGGAGGCCATTTTATCCAGATGCAGTAGTTTACTTCTTGAAATTATTTTTGCTAATGACGGCTGCTAATTATCCCTCATTACATGGCAGTCGTCGTAAGCAAAAATAATTTCAAGAAGTAAACCACCGCATCTGGATAAAATGGCCTCCTCTCTCAACTTAACATATTATTTTTTTCATCAACATCATGATTTCGATCAATATCGATCATTTTCGGATGCTTCAATTTAAAGTTCCAACTTCGGGCCACAAAAAAGGGTATACTTCAACGTTGGACTACCATACAAACAACGGCCATATTAAAGCTGGTTTCTTCTTCTTGCACCAGGTGGCAGCACTTCTTTTCCAAAATCAGTGCTTGTATTTCCAAAATCGTGATTTCCTCGCTGAGGAGTGAAATCGGCTTCATCGTTGCTAAAAATAGCTGATAGCGTTGT